AAAACTTTAAACAACTTCTTCTCAATAACCAAAATGCCCTGGGTGATGATATTTGGCCAGTAGCAAGCTGAGATGAAGGGCTACAAAGTTTGTTCAAATAAATGACCTTCACCCATATTCAAGGTCACAGGGGTCAAATATGTTAAAATCTTCAAACAACTTCTTCTCAATAACCGAAAGGCCCAGGGTACTTGTATTAGGCCTGTAGCATGCTGGGATGAAGGGCTGCCAAGTTTGTTCAAATGAATGACCTTGACCCACTTTCAAGGTCACTGGGGTCAGATGTCTTAAAATCTTCAAACAACTTCTTCTCAATAACCAAAAGGCCTGGGGTACTGATATTGGGCCTGTATCATGCTGGGATGAAGGGCTACCAAGTTTGTTCAAATGAATGACCTTGACACACTTTCAAGGTCACTGGAGTCAGATGTCTTCAAATCTTCAAACAACTTCTTCTTAATAACCAAAAGGCCAAGGGTACTTAAATTGGGCCTGTAGCATGCTGGGATGAAGGGCTACCAAGTTTGTTCAAATAAATGACCTTGACCAACTTTCAAGGTCAGTGGGGTCCGATGTCTCAAAATCTTCAAACAACTTCTTCACAATAACCAAAAGGCACAGAGTACTGTTATTGGGCCTGTAGCGTGCTGGGATGAAGGGCTACCAAGTTTGTTTAAATGCATCACTTTGACCAACTTTCAAGGTCAATGGGGTCAGATGTCTTAATACCTTCAAACAACTTCTTCACAATAACCAAAAGGCACAGAGTACTGTTATTGGGCCTGTAGCGTGTTGGGATGAAGGGCTACCAAGTTCATTAAAATGAACGATCTTGACCAACTTTAAAGGTCAAAGGGGTCAGATGTCTTAAAATCTTCAAACGCCTTCTTCTCAATAACCAAAACGCCCAGGGTACTGATATTGGGCCTGTAGCATGCTGGGATGAAGGGCTACCAAGTTCATTAAAATGAACGATCTTGACCAACTTTAAAGGTCAAAGGGGTCAGATGTCTTAAAATCTTCAAACGCCTTCTTCTCAATAACCAAAACGCCCAGGGTACTGATATTGGGCCTGTAGCATGCTGGGATGAAGGGCTACCGAGTTTGTTCAAAGGAATGAACTTGACCAGCTTTCAAGGTCACAGGGGTCAAATGTTTTAAAATCTTCAAACAACTTCTCAATAACCAAAAGACCCAGTGTACTGAAATAAGGCCTGTAGCATGCTGGGATGAAGGACTACCAAGTTTAATCAAATGAATGAGCTTGATCCACTTTCAACCTGATGTCCTTGTTCGACATTCAAGGTCACAGGCGTCATATGTTTAAATCTTTTAAAAGGTTCTTATGAAGCAAACACTGATATTCTGCCTGTAGCTATATTTTAGTCCACTTTTAAGATTACAAGTGTGAGATTAATACCAGGTGAGCGATGCAGGCCCATTGGGCCTCCTGTTTAAGGTTGGTACCCTATATAGTGCATTTGAACTTTGATCCCTACCAAAAACTGAAAAGTTGACATTTTTAGCTCACCTGCCCGAAGGTCAAGTGAGCTTATGCCATGGTGCGGGGTCCGTCGTCCGTCCGTCGTCCGTCTGTCCGGCGTCAACTTTTTACTTTGAACAACTTCTTTTCAGTAACCAAAATATCTAGGATTATGATATTTGGCCAGTAGCATGCTTGGATCAAGGGCTACCAAGTTTGTTCAAATAAATGACCTTGACCCACTTTCAAAGTTACAGGGGTCAAATATGTTAAAATCTTCAAACAACTTCTTCTCAATAACCAAAAGGCCAAGGGTACTGATATTAGGCCTGTAGCATGCTGGGATGAAGGGCTACCAAGTTTGTTCAAATGAATGACCTTGACCCACTTTCAAGATCACTGGGGTCAGATGTCTTTAAAATCTTCAAACGACTTCTTCTCAATAACCAAAAGACCCAGGGTACTGATATTGAACCTGTAGCATGCTGGGATGAAGGACTACCAAGTTTGTTAAAATGAATGACCTTGACCAATTTTCAGGGTCACAGGGGTCAAATGTCTTAAAATCTTCAAACAACTTCTTCTCAATAACCAAAAGGCCCAGTGTACTGATATTCGGCCTGAAGCATGTTGGGATGAAGGACTGCCAAGTTTGTTCAAATGAATGACCTTGACCAACTTTCAAGCTCAAAGGGGTCAAATGTCTTTAAAATCTTCAAACGACTTCTTCTCAATAACCAAAAGGCCCAGGGTACTGAAATTGGGCCTGTAGCATGCTGGGATGAAGGACTACCAAGCAAGTTCAAATGAATGACCTTGATCCACTTTCAACCTAATGTCCTTGTTTGACAATCAAGGTCACAGGCATCATATGTTTAAATCTTTTAATAGGTTCTTATGACATCTTATGATTACAAGTGTGAGATTAATACCAGGTGAGCGATGCAGGCCCATTGGGCCTATTGTTTGTTAAAACAGTATGAAAGAAAAAATTGCTATTGCTTATCTCTATATGATTTCCAAAGATCAACCTCGTGTTTAATATCGTTAACACAATATATTGGTATAAGCTGTTAACCAATCAAAGTTTGTGGCGGCCATCTTGGAATATTAATTGCTCTAAAAAGTAACATAAGTTTGTAAGGACACCTAGAGGAATACATGTACCAATTGTGGTTATAATTGCAATGGCAGAATTGGAGAAGAAGATCGTTGAAGTTTGTAAAAATAGTGTCGGATTTTCAAAAAAGATCAAAGACAATAATGAACACTCCATAGGACGTTAACGGAAAATGTTACAGAAAAACTAAAGGCATCAAATTCATCGGAATGACATTCTGCATTGATCTGTAAAAGATTTTTTCCAAAAAAACCCAGAAAAAATAAATAAACAAGAGATCCCAGAGGGATCTTGGCGCCCACCTTTGTACCATCTTCATTAGTTCTTTGTCAGTTCGATCTTTTCTCTTCTTTCCTCTAATCTGTTTGATCGAGTCATGTTAACAGTAAATGCACCTTGAGGTAACTTTTGATCTAAACTTAATACTGATGTGTATGAAAGCCAACATTCAAAGTGAGTTTGTCATTTCACATATTTACTAGTACAGTACTTAATGTGAAAGAAATAGAATTGATCATTGCAATATGAGAAAGATCTGTTTAGTTCTTCTTTTAATCCATTTTGTTTTTATAATCAGTCTCAAAATATAACATACAAAACAAGGGATCAAGGGGAAATTTGAGAAAGATCCCTCGCGTACTTCCCGAGAAATAGCGATAACAAACTTTCACTATCAAAATCCAAGATGGCTGCCTGTCGGCCATGTTGTTTATCCGATCAGTCTCTAAAATTGCCCTGCACAGCTAGGACCAAGGGGAACCTACATATAAAATTTAAGAAAGATCCCTCTAGTTCTTCCGGAGAAATAGCGGTAACAAACCCACACTATCAAAATTCAAGATGACTACTTGTCGTCCATGTTGTTTATCCGATCAATCTCAAAAGTTGCCCTGCACAGCTAAGGACCAAGGGGAACCTACATATAAAATTTGAGAAAGATCCCTTTGATACTTCCCGAGAAATAGCGATAACAAACTTTCAATATCAAAATCAAAGATGGCTGCCTGTCTGCTGTGTTGTTTATCCGATCAGTCTCTAAAAAATGCCTTGCACAACTAAGGACCAAGGAGAACCTACATATAAAATTTGAGAAAGATCCCTCTGGTACTTCTTGAGAAATACAGATAACAAGAATTGTTTACGGACGGACGACGGACAACGGACCACGGACGCAGGGTGATTTGAATAGCCCACCATCAGATGATGGTGGGCTAAAAAATATGTGACTTTTGACCCATTAGCGAGCTTTTTTATTTGACCTTTATTTGAGATAAAGTACAAACAAAAAAGCTAGCCCTGAAGATTATCTACATATAATATAATTGCATCAATTCTGTAAATTAAACCGTTTTTGAGTTATGGTCATTTTAAGATTTTGAGGTACATGTATAACGTCATGGTGGCCATATTGGATTTTTGACCTACTTCAAAATGTTGCTTGATCATCTTCAGACCTTTTCCTACAACATACCTAAATGACTATAAACCTATCGTTTACCAAACAAAAGATACAGAATTCACAAATTAGGGGAGAATAATAATAATAAGAAGAAACATAGCAAAAACAATAGGTCTTTTCACCAGTTGGTGAAAAGCCCTAATTACAAGGTTTATGTATAATGGACAGTGCATTTAGTAAACATTGTTGAAGTTCTCTGGATAAATTATGGATATCGACCCGAGTTTAAATGGAATGTTGCATATAAAGTAAATGTTAATTCTGGTTAAAATTAGAATGGTCAAAAAATGTCTAGGCAATTCAGAAGATAGGAGGCTACATCTTCGATTTCAAAGTGACATATTATAATGACTGCCAGCTGGACTGTTGTTTCACTCACGCTTAAGGAAAGGATCAGATTAGTCAACTTATACCTGGTAATTGTCACCAATATACAAAACAGCGTCAGTATAATTGTCACCAATATACAAAACAGCATCAGTATTATTGTCACCAATAATCAAAACAGCATCAGCATAAATACAAAATTTAGCCTGTCATTGGTAAGTAACATTTTTTATTTAGCGAGATCAAACAAATAAAAACAGCATTTGAACAGTTTACACAAATAATTTATTAGCACTAATATGATTGTTAATACATCAATGAAGAATAATATTCTGAATGGGTAACTGTTGTAAGTATGATCAAGTCATTCACTGCTTTCAATAAATATGCCTCTTAAAACTGAAAAGCATAACTGTCGACACCATTATACACGAACAATTAAACATCAATACGTGTTATCAGTTTATGCTATTCTTAATGTTCAAAATTGTTCATATTTTTTGTTGGTATTTCATATTGCATAATTACTTTAGACTCTACCTCTACAACAAGTAGCACTCTTTACCATTGTAACTGGTAAAATAGACATTGAACATTTACTTTTTCAACTTCAGCATCATTGCAATTAAAATAAACTTTCTTAACTTTAGTCTCACTGCAATGAAAAGAAATTTTTAAACTATTTCGCGACTTTTAATCTTACTACGGAGAGAAACAAATGTCAAGTTCATCCTCACTGCAGTGAAAATGAACTGTTTCTACTTCAGGTTTGCTTTGCTAAAAACCGAAACTTGCTCAACTTCAGTTTCATTTCCGTGAAATTGGAAGGAAACACTGCCTTGTTCAGTTTCAATTTCACTGGAGTAAAAACAAACTAGCTAAATTTCAGTTTCGCTGCACTGAAAACAGAAACTTCTCAACTTCAATCTCACTGCAGTGAAAACAACAATAACACACACAGGGCATGTACACTGAAAGATATTTTACAAAAAAAAGTCTGTTTATATCACTACATCTTCTAACTTCCACCAAAACATTTTATGATTACCTGTTATCAGTAAAATGTTACAGAGGATCTCAAAATAAGTGTTCAATCTAAATTTTAGCCATGTATGTTTTCCTGATTTTATCACATGCAGTGTTAGAACAGTTATATATTTTATTGTTTATCACTAGAAATGTAAAGACATGACCTGGTTACACATGTACTTGTGTATGAATTTTATTCTTAATGTTAACTTGATTCAACAAGTTGTGCTACACCAGTGACCTGTTTTTCAAAGCCTAAGATTAATGAGTAGTTTCAAAATATGAGTTTGAGAAATATTTGGAAATACACTGTATATTTCTAATGCCTTCAGACAATCATCTTAAATGTATCTACGTGTAATTTTAATTACAAATTTAAATATATTTGTATACTTGTTGTAACTACCCAGTGTTCAGGCCCAAATAGTTTTATTTCTCACATATCATATAAGATGTACATGTTCCTTGATAAAATTGTGACATATGATGATCTGTTAATGGGACAGGCACTATAAATTATCGTAATGATGATGAAGATGATGATGCTCATTTGTGGTTTAGTTTGTTTGTGTTTTAAGTCCTATTAACAGCTATGCATGTGCCAGGTTTTGTTGGTAGAGGTAAGCCGGAGTACCCCGACCTACAGCCAGTACCTGGCGACTGCCCCACGTAGGTCACAAACCAGAGACCCAGTGGTGGAGGGCTAGTGGAAGCAGAATGTCGGACGCCTTAACCACTTGGTCTACGCGGCCCCAAGCTCATTTGTAATTTCACTGGTCTCAAATTCAATCAACTAGGTAAAACATTTCCAGCATAACTGGCCCATCAATGATTTCATTGTCTCAGATTCAAGGACACATTGAAGATCTAGTCTATAGTGGTTTCATTGGCCTTGAATTCAATGAACCATTGTAACCTAAAGTCACTGGCAGTCGACAAAGTTAGTTGTTGTATTTATCAAGCTTTTTATGTTTTTACTTGTGATATCATTTTATAGCATGATTGATGAGTACATGCATACATTTACATACAGGATATAAAACATGAATATTGCTTCTCCAAATCGCTGAGAAAATGAATGCCTTATGACATATGTTATGAATGGTTACACAGAATACAAGAGGCCCAGAGGGCCTGTATCGCTCACCTGGATACCAAAGCAATCATGGCAAAATATTCTCCGAATGAGATCAAGGGAATATGCCAGACCCCAAGGCCAATCCTTGTAGCATATCTGTATTAGATTTTTCATGCCCAGCAATTTTATGTATGTGGGGATCTCAACTGTTTCCAAGCTTTGACTCAGAAACTAGGTCCCTAGGGTTGTGGCCAGACCCCAGGATCAATTCTAATATCGTGACTGCATTTGTCTCTTTTTACCCAACAATTGTATATATAGTTTTGGGGTGGGGATTTAAACCATTTCAAAGTTATGACCCAGGGGTTAAGTCTCCAAGGGTGGGGCAGTCCCCAAGGCCATCCTGGAAGAATATGTGCAATCATCTCTTTATACTCAACAATCGTATATACCATTATAGGGTGGGGATCTCAACTGTTTCCAAGCTGTGACTAACAAACTAGGTCCCTAGGGGTTCGGTCAGACCCAAGGGTCTATTCTGATATCATGACTGCATTTGTCTTTTTATGCCCAGCATTTGTATATATAGTTTTGGGGTGGGGATCTCAACAGTTTTAAAGTTATGGCCCAGGGACTATGTCTCCAAGGGTGGGGCAAGACCCTATAGCCATCCTGGAAGCAAATGTGCATTCTTCTCTTTACACTCAGCAATTGTATACCATGGTTATATGGTGGGGATCTCAACCATTTCCAAGTAATACACTTTTTTTGGCCCCACCCCTTAGCCCGGGGGGTCAGCCCCACCATTTGTACAATTTTGAATCCCTGCCTCCCACGAATGCTTCCGACCAGTGGTTAAGAATAAGAAGTCGTTTAAAGAAATTGTTGACGTACGGACGGACGACGGACGCAACGGTATGGCATAAGCTCACCTTGGTCCTTCGGACCAGGTGAGCTAAAAATGAATTGTATACAGTAGTACACTCAAATGACTCATATCATAAAAATAATTTAATGGACACAGGTTACAAAAGTGGGCTGTATACATTACTGTATCATACAGAAGACACACTATAATGGTCACCTGATAACTGTTAAGTTACTTTATCAGAAATACTAGATCACAAAGAAATCTCATTTCCTGTATTAGAGGCATGCTCATTCCTAATTGGCAGTTTGTCCCTATGAAAGTTTTTCCAACTTCTAATTCAGTTTGGCTTAGGAGCATTCCATTTGCAAGTCACAAGCAAGTAATGTACACTTATCTTCAATTACCACTGATACAGTTTCAAAGTCGCGTTTAATTTGTCCCCTTATACCACAAATACCTCTGGACCATTAAATTCTATAACCAATACTACCTTTCTTCACTTGTAGATACAAATGACAGTATTTCACTTACAAAGTTTTTTGACTCTCACACTCTTGTCATGGTTTGAAATGCATGTATGTGTTTATAGGTACAAATACAGTACATGTATGTGTTTATAGGTACAAATACAGTACATGTATGTGTTAAGAGGTACAAATACAGTACATGTATGTGTTTATAGGTACAAATACAGTACATGTATGTGTGTATAGGTACAAATACAGCACATGTATGTGTTTAGAGGTACAAATATACAGTACATGTATGTGTTTATAGGTACAAATACAGTACATGTATGTGTGTATAGGTACAAATACAGTACATGTATGTGTTTAGAGGTACAAATACAGTACATGTACTTTTAAACCAAATCAACCGTTACCCATGCATTTCTATGAAGGAAAATAAGGACACAGGAACCTCAGTTTGGTAGGGTATCTTGTGGCGCATGATTACCTCCGCGGACAGGCACCTAAGTGTGCGGTATTGCAGTGGAGGAACAGGTAGACCCTGGTTCTGCATCATCTGAAGGGCACTTAACCCCTCACCATTGTAGATATCAACATGAGCTCCGTTCTGTAGCAAGCAAGCCAGAATACCTTCATTCTGTAGCTCTGAGTAGGTGAGGAACTTAATACTGTTGTGAAGTGGTGTGTTCCTCTTCTTATCCACAGTGTTAGTCTGAGCCCCACATGTAATGAGTGTCTGAACTACGGCCAGTGACGGAAAGGGAGAGTAAAACTCTTCGCTAGTCAGCGAGATCTTTGGATCTACTGCTAGGTGAAGTAAGCTCTCCATATCTTGACCACGCGGATCAATGGTAACAAGTCGGTGCACAAGGCTGTGGAATTCAAATTTCTGCTGATCTGTGGACTCCAGTCGAGATATGAGATGGACCACGTGAAGGGAGAGTTGCAGCAGCAGTTGAAAGTCGCCCAGAGAAGAGTTTGGATTTGTAGGACGTGTTTTAAGAATGCATATTCCACCTTCTATCTGCTGAATCAACATTGCAAATACCTCAAATGCATCTGGAACTAAGACCTGTAAGAAATATTAAAATCATAGATTATGATTATTTTATTACATATTTAATTTTAAGTATGGAAATCAATTTTGCAGGAATTATCTACACACAGGAATAGTGCTTACATAATGTATTCACCGGGGGCAGTATGCATTTAAACAAAACATTTACAGATGTAGATTAACTCTTTTGTTCTGACAAAAACATATGGTTCTCATGAACTCAATATTAGCTTATATATATATATATATGCATTTGCATATTTGTGTGTTTTTTTAATATTATTGCATTGGATGTTGACATTACAATATTACAAAGAACAGCATGACTTCTGTAGGTGATGCAGTATATACTTCAAGTTTCATCATGATCCTCAACATTTTTTAACATTACTGCCCAGACAAGATTTCACTAAAAATTTTGCTCTTATTTGACCTTTGATCAAGAGGTGAATGACCTAATTACAGCACATACTTCAAGTTAAAGAAATCTTTGATAATTTAAAAGTTACGGCCCTCGCAAGATGCTTTATAGGAAGAACCAGAAGAATGTACTTAAAATTATCTAAGATGTGCATGTCTCCCTTTCAATCAATTAAATAATATCCCTTCTCGTTAACACAATGTAAATTAAAATATTCCATACAGTAGATAAGGATGACTTGTTATAATTTCTGTTGTTCCTCTTGTCCTCAATAGATTGTATGGGAAACTGAATCCAGGGTCGCTCAACCCTTGCAGCTACCATATATATATATAGAGAGAGATATTATAAAAGCAGAAAAAATATCCTTATGGACGAAGAAATATTATAAAAAGAAAAACTCTCAACAAAGAGTCTTTAGTACTTTCATCTCTTCTAGGAGATTCTTAGGACTTGAAGATACATAGATATATACCTTGCATTCTGAGAAATTCAGCAAATACATTTTTTACTCTAAAACAGGATAATTTAAACATTCAGTTTCTCTTTATGACCATTTTTATCACTCTATTCTAATATTTGTTTGCATGTTGTACACTGTTTCTGAAGAAATTATTTACTTCGGACATGACAGGTGAAATTCCAATTTTTAATCTTCTCAAAGCAAAATGACAAAATTAAAGATGAAGGTCCTAGCTGCCACTGATTTGCTTCAAAGTAAATATATGTTTTGCACTTCACAAGACCCCTTCCCCTGGATAAATGCTCCTGGTTTTTCCCAAAATCAATGCAGAGATTTCTTTATTTTCCCAAAGCCCTGATTTCAATACTTATTAGCACTGAGTAAATACCTTTTCCTCTGTGGCACCTGATTCCAGCTCAACTTGCATCTCCCAAAAGAGCTTGATGAGGGCCTGTACTGTGAAGAGGCACTCGTGGTTGAGCGGCTCTCCTTTCTTGTTCCTCAGTATGTAGGCATACTTCCATAGGTCCACACATCGTTGATACCTATGGCTATCAGCGTACACTGCTCCTCGGTACATCAACCCAAAGGTGGTGTCCTTGTGGAAGGGCCCAATGATCCTCTCACGGATCAGTAGAGCCTGCATGTAAACATTGTCTGGTTCTATGATTTGTTCTAATTCATTCACAGTCATGGGTTCTCGTGCATGCTGGTATGCGTAATTGGTTTCTAAGGGTAAGACTTTCATAATTTCATTGTTAGGATATGAATATCTCATATTCATGGCTTTTCTCCACATTGCCAGAGCACCAACTATATCATGTACTTCATCAACAAAGTTTGTGCCAAGAAGTTCATATGAATGAATTTCAGTCTCTTTAGTCTGGATAGTATTTTCTAAAATATAGTCTACGATTGAAGTGAATCCTCTCAACGCCGCTGTTTGTAAGGCATCATCACCAAAATCATTTTTGGCAGTATGATCGGAACCGTAGCTCAGCAAAAGTTTAACAGTGTCCAATCTACCCTCCCTGATTGCATAATGGAGTGCAAGATTGCCCGAGTTGTCCCTAGCATTCACATCAACATTTTTTGATATCAGAAACTCGCACAAACGAACACTCTGCACAGAGTTGATTAAACAGGTTCCACCATTAATGTTTGCTTTGTGGATGTCTGCACCATTGTCCACCAATAGCTTAACCACGGCAATGTTAGTCATGTAGCAGGCCGACCGAACCGGTGTAGACTCGGTGTCAGAAGGACTGTTGATATTGGCACCGTGGGATATCAGACTTTTAACCACCTCCAGGTTACCTGCAACAGCGGCACACCATAACGGGGTCACGTCATGTCGAGAATGATCAAGCTCTACTTCATAGATTCCCCTCTGTTCATAGTCTCCTCCACATTCATCTAGTAGGTAATTACCTATGTGCACTTTTCCCTTTAGACAAGCATTAAACAGTGCAGCGTTACCATTAATTTTGTAATTTACAATTTTCCGTCGCTGTTCCTTTGAGAATTTCCTGAGCGTAGCCTTCAGCTTACTTAGTTTGTCCTCCTGAATACAGTTGTGTACAATGGAGGCATACCACGAGACATCTACATCTTCACAGCGAGCAGATGTACACGCCATCATGTCACCAACACACCACACCTGAAAAAAAAGATATCAGACTTAAATATTTAGTGCTAACATTGACACTGTCCCCGTTTTATATTCTTATATCAATATTAAAGAAAGCATGCACTACTAACATTGCTTATTATTCTAATAACTCTGAAATGCCAGCTTTTTTCTATACATTTGAAACAGTAGAAAATTTAATTTACATGAGGATATATTTTACTCCTCCAAAATATTGAAAAATGAATGTATCTCAATTCTCAATGTTAAACTCTTGCTTAACTATATACTCTACACTAAAGTAATGAAATTTTGATTTTGAAGGCAAATTAATGTGCCATGTGAAAGGAAGATTTAGTCTGATTTTTACTCCATTCAAAGAATGTAAAGCCATAACCTATACTAGCTAACTTGAGAAAATAAGGTCCTTATTGTGTAGGGACCTTGACACTTTTTTAAAATTTAGATTTCTGTGACAAATAAAATGGCATCTATGTGGATACTGCTATTGTGGCCTATCAATTATGGTGTAGTTATTGACCAAGATATATATAGTGAATAAATAGTTTATTGGGTGTGCAGTCAGTATCATTATATATCATAACATAGCCCAGCCTATCTCTTTTCATCTTTTGATTTGCAGTCATTCCAAAATATTTTCACACTTTTGTTTGGTAGCTGGCACAGGAACATTTGGGGTTGACGGCACTTAGAAAATAGAGGGTAGCACAGTCTGTGAGGTTCATTAGTAGTGTGTCCTAGTCAGATTGCGTCATGGTAGGATACCTTGAGGTTTTCTGTACACAAAAAAAGGCACCAGGAAGTAAAGATGCTGAGTATGCTGAGAAACAGCAGCTAGAGTGGCATGTATGTGCAGAGAAATGAAGGATCTGATTGAGAGTGGCTTAACTCTGGCAGTGAAGCCGATATTTTGTTTATTCTATTGATTCCAATCAATGATCAGTCTGTCAATAACCATCTCTGTTTTCATTTGTAGCATAATTATATATTTATCGACAATTATAGCATAATTGTATCTTTATCGACAATTATATGTCATACAGATACTTGCCAACGTTTTGAAATTTTCATGGGGGAGACTACACAGGCTCAGAATTAAAATCATAAATAAAATGTGTATAAACACTCTAGGGATAAAGATCAGTTTGAAATGGCATCAGATGAAACCAACGGATATTCGAAAATAGGAATAGTTTAGCAAATTCACAGGTTAAAAATGCTCAATTTAAGGGTTCAAAATCGGGTGTCTCCCTCCTAAATGGGGAGAGTTGGCAAGTATGATATTTATATGTATTCAAAACATAGGTACTCAGGTTCTGGACCATATGTAGTAAACTTAGGTATTGCACATCCCTATACTAATAAACAAGCAAATTCATGGAATTTATATCCCCCGCTTGCAGGACATATTGTAGATTAACATTATTGAGGTTAGGTTTAAACATGTAAGTATCGTGCTGTTGAGACAAAATGTTTAGCTTGAAATTTGAGGGGGGGGAAAAAGCCCTATACCTCATTGATTATTCATAAATATGCACAAATCACATTGGTTGGCAAACTTAGCATGAGTCAGATGTGCATACTGAATTTGGTTGAAACATCTGAACAGTATCTACAGCAATTATCAGACGAAAACTAAAGAGTGCCCAAGATGGTTTGAAAGACAGAGGAACACAAACATTGTTGTCAAGTTTGAAGGAATTTGGCTAATATTTGCTAGAGTTGTTAAAAGCGTTAATCAAGGGGCCATATCTCTGCCAAATGCAGTCCAATTGAAGTGGTCATCGAACTTGGCCGAGCCCTTTAGGCATTTAACCCTGTGACCAAGTTTGAAGAAATTCGGTTAACATTGTTGTAGTTATCACACGGAAACGAAGCGCTGCAATTAAAGACGTTTTTCGTTATTCAAGGGGCCATAACTCCGCCAAATGAAGACCGCTGAAAGTGGTCATCAAACTTGGCTGAGCCCTTAAAACATTTAACCCTGTAACCAAGTTTGAAGAAAATCGGTTAACCTTTTTTTTAGCTATTGCACGGAAACGAAGCGCGGCAGATAATTACGTTTTTCATTATTCAAGGGGCCATTACTTTGCCAAATGGGGTTTGCTGAAAGTGGTCATCAAACTTGGCTGAGTCCTTAAGTTATTGCACAGAAACGAAGCACAGCATATAATGACGTTTTTCATTATTCAAGGGGCCATTACTCTGCCAAATGGGGTTCGCTTAAAGTGGTCATCGAACATGGCTGAGCCCTTAAGGCATTTAACCATGTGACCAAGTTTGAAGAAATTCGGTTAACATTTATTGTAGTTTTTGCACGGAAACGAAGCGTGACGGACAGACAACAACCTAGGGCGAACGGGATATAGGGCGAAACAACCCTTTGTGTGAACATGATTTAGGGCGAAACAACCCGTTACCGTTATGCACTCCTATAGGTACAATTATCTTGTGTTGAGGCTGACATGCCCTTAGCTCCTCATTAACTAGCTATATAAATGACTTCAGATAATATATGTAATTAGTAGCATTTAGAGACTGACATGTTATAAGTCCAGTGACCTATTTTTTTATATAAAACATCAAACTTAATTCATCATTATTGACTATATATATGTTTACCTCGAAATGCATTTTAATGGAGCATTTTATTTGCTCAGGTAAAATATATTTAAATTACATATAGAAGTTCTGATTTTGAACTTGGGTCGTTTATATTTGACATTTCAGTGGATGAAACTTAGGATGGCTATAACCTCTTTCAGGGGCCTTATCAGGTCGGGGAAAAACCATTAACTTGCATATAATACGCAAACTCAACTATTATACACCAATTGTGGTATGGATTTGTTACTTAAAATAGCCAAAATCACTTTAAGCTTAACGTTTTCAAATTGTTTGTCCAAGTCGCATTTATTTAGTCATGAAACATCATATAAATGCAAAAGTACCAAAAATAGATTCAACACTACCAGTAAGTTACATCAAGTTTCTCAGTAGACATCTTTTAGCAAAATATTATTGACCTTGTCGTAAATTAAAGCGATTTTTAATCATATATTGCAAAAGTTACTGTTAAAGCGATTTGGGTTATTTTTAGCAACAAATCCATACTCCAACTGGTGTATAATAGGCGAGTTTGCGTATTATACCGGTCACCCTTAAAAGCGTCTTCAACCGACAACAGGCATCTTCAAGTCACAACAAGCGTCGCCAGACAAAATCTTTAAAAATACTGAATAAAGAAGATAAGTTGTTAATATGACTATAATAAACCTCTATACCAAATTTCAATTTGATATTTGAAAAATTGAGTAATGATGAATTGAATTTTATGATCGGCGGCGTGACACATATGTGTATAGAACTCTACAGATTGTGGAGCGTCTTCAAACTATATCTCTAAAAATAATCTTAAAAGTAAGCGATATCAGACGATATGTTATTCAAATGACTACTGTATAACACACCTATATATATATATACAAAGTTTCAGATCTATATTTGAACAAAACACCCGAGTTATCATGAGGTATTTAAGTTTCATGAGTACATGTATGAAGCTCTCGGTGTGTCACATATGTGTACTTGCACGTAGGACTTGGATATTATACGCAAGTTGTTGTTTTTTCCCCAACCTGCAGTGCTTTATTGAAACTTAGACCCCGCTACATAAAGACCGATTGCATTCAACACGAGTAGCAAAGCATATATTATTAACATATTATCCAGATCACATTAAAATACAACAGGTATTGTATTTGTTTGCAACTGATCTCCTCAACATATTTTTAATTTTCAGTTAATGAAAAACAAACGGTTACTACATAATCGGTTCGCCTACAGTCAGACAGTAGCCAACTTCTCGTGTTGTTGATTGGCCGATTTTCAAGCTTCAATGAGACAACACCCTATCTAAACAACAACATCATGGCGACGAATGAGCAAATGTTGACAAGTGTTACTTTAACAAATGCTTACCTGTACAAAATTGTATTAATGTAGCCAAATAACCAGGAGTTTATATGTCCGCGCAATGTATAATTCAGAAATGAGGAGGCGGTCTCGTCTCGCTACACCACTTGTTAGCATTACAAGCACCCTGGAGATGTCGATGCAAAATATTGCCTTCAGGTGGCAGCACCTATTCATAATCAGAAAAAGTGGAACGGAGTGAAACTTTCAATTTTACGGATTGTCATACTTACCAACTTTTTTATATGCCCATGGGGAGATTCTGCATGCTCAAAATTAAGATCTAATTTATCTTTAAAAATTCAGAACTTGCATCTGGAATGTTTTTTGATTCTTGACAAAGACTACCTATGGTGATTCATTTTCAGGAAAAGTTTTATATCTAAGTAATTTGTTTTTGAAAATAGAATGCTTATACTTTGTTGCTGTTGTTATATGATGATGATGAGGATGATGAGGATGACGATAAGGATGAAATCATGTGAAGGATGAGGATGATGACTAAGTGTTATTTTGGATGTGTGGATGTGAGTGTGAGAGAATATGTTATATTTTGCGAAATACAATTGTGAAAAATTAAAAAAAATTAAAAAGTCTTAGGTGTTAGATCAATATTCGGTAAAAATGCCTACCCCATTAAATCAATGATGCTGAGGCAAGTTTGGACAGGCAGTTTGGGGTAAGTTAATTCGGCCTACGAATGAGTCCGCCTATTTAAATTTCCCCCGCCAACGGACGACTTCCTATATGTGTTGCATGGGCAGATCTTCCCCGGTATCCCGATTGGCCGAACCTGACCAAAATGGAGTTATACTCGATTATTACAGCATGCTAGGTTTTTATACGATCATGTGACTGAGCTGTCAGTGTGTTACACGTATGACATAAATAAGTAGCAATTCGGTTTAGAGAAAGTTCGCAAAACTAGAGATAAAAAAAACTTTAATAATTTTATAATTCAGTTTTCCTTGCCATTTTTTGGTGAATGTCCTGCCAAGCCAGCTAAACTGCTAAGATCATCAAAGTTATAAATATTTGTTCAAGACATAAACTATCATTCAGTGGCCAGACTTGCCCCGGTCTCCCCTAATCTAATTTGTTAATGTAAATATCATAATTCCTTCCAGTTTGACGTTGACAATGTTTTATTTTTTTCTCTAATAAGAAAATCTTTAAGTAAATCTTAATCTTCACCAAACTTATTTCTTCCCTCCGTTTTTTTTATATCCTAACTATTGGACGTTGATCATTTCATACTATCCTCTGCTTGCGTCTCCCTCTCTGATATTGACTATGTGATACTTCCCTCTCTTTTGATGTTGACTATGTCTTACTTCTCTCTTTTTTTGATGTTGACTATGTCATACTTCCCTCTCTTTTTGATTTTGACTACGTGATACTTCCCTCTCTTTTTGATGTTGACTACGTGATACTTCCGTCTCTTTTTGATGTTGACTATGTCATACTTCCCTCTCATTTTGATTTTGACTACGTGATACTTCCCTCGCTTTTTGATGTTGACTACGTGATACTTCCCTCTCTTTTTGTTGTTGACTATGTCATACTTCCCCCTCTTTTTGATGTTGACTATGTGATACTTCCCTCTCTATTTTACATTGTTCACGGATGCTATTTCTCTATTTGTCATTGTTCATGAATGCTATTTCTCTATTTGATATTATTCACGGATATTTCTCTATTTGACATTATTCACGGATGATATTTCTCTATTTGACATTAATCAAGAATGCTATTTCTCTATTTGACATTGTTCACGGATGCTATTTCTCTATTTGTCATTGTTCATGAATGCTATTTCTCTATTTGATATTATTCACGGATATTTCTCTATTTGACATTATTCACGGATGATATTTCTCTATTTGACATTAATCAAGAATGCTATTTCTCTATTTGACATTGTTCACAAATGCTATTTCTCTATTTGACATTGATCACGAATGCTATTTCTCTATTTGACATTGTTCACGGATGCTATTTCTCTATTTGTCATTGTTCATGAATGCTATTTCTCTACCCCCTCTTTTTGATGTTGACTATGTGATACTTCCCTCTCTATTTTACATTGTTCACGGATGCTATTTCTCTGTTTGTCATTGTTCATGAATGCTATTTCTCTACCCCCTCTTTTTGATGTTGACTATGTGATACTTCCCTCTCTTTTTGATGTTGGCCATGTCATACTTCCCTCTCTTTTTGATGTTGAATATGTCATACTTCCCTCTCATTTTGATGTTGACTATGTCTTACTTCCCTCTCTTTTTAATGTTGACTATGTCATGCTTCCCTCTCATTTTGATGTTGACCATGTGATACTTCCCTCTCTATTTTACATTGTTCACGGATGCTATTTCTCTGTTTGTCATTGTTCATGAATGCTATTTCTCTACCCCCTCTTTTTGATGTTGACTATGTGATACTTCCCTCTCTTTTTGATGTTGGCCATGTCATACTTCCCTCTCTTTTTGATGTTGACTATGCCTTACTTCTCTCTTTTTTTGATGTTGACTCTGTCATCCTTCCCTCTCTTTTTGATGTTGACTATGTGATACTTCCCTCTCTTTTTGATGTTGACCATGTCTTACTTCCCTCTCTTTTTGATGTTGACTATGTGATACTTCCCTCTCTATTTTACATTGTTCACGGATGATATTTCTCTATTTGTCATTGTTCATGAATGCTATTTCTCTATTTGATATTATTCACGGATATTTCTCTATTTGACATTATTCACGGATGATATTTCTCTATTTGACATTAATCAAGAATGCTATTTCTCTATTTGACATTGTTCACGGATGCTATTTCTCTATTTGTCATTGTTCATGAATGCTATTTCTCTACCCCCTCTTTTTGATGTTGACTATGTGATACTTCCCTCTCTATTTTACATTGTTCACGGATGCTATTTCTCTGTTTGTCATTGTTCATGAATGCTATTTCTCTACCCCCTCTTTTTGATGTTGACTATGTGATACTTCCCTCTCTTTTTGATGTTGACCATGTGATACTTCCCTCTCTTTTTTATGTTGGCCATGTCATACTTCCCTCTCTTTTTGATGTTGAATATGTCATACTTCCCTCTCATTTTGATGTTGACTATGTCATTCTTCCCTCTCTTTTTTATGTTGACCATGTCATACTTCCCTCTCATTTTGATGTTGACCATGTGATACTTCCCTCTCTATTTTACATTGTTCACGGATGATATTTCTCTATTTGTCATTGTTCATGAATGCTATTTCTCTATTTGATATTATTCACGGATATTTCTCTATTTGACATTATTCACGGATGATATTTCTCTATTTGACATTAATCAAGAATGCTATTTCTCTATTTGACATTGTTCACGGATGCTATTTCTCTATTTGTCATTGTTCATGAATGCTATTTCTCTATTTGATATTATTCACGGATATTTCTCTATTTGACATTATTCACGGATGATATTTCTCTATTTGACATTAATCAAGAATGCTATTTCTCTATTTGACATTGTTCACGGATGCTATTTCTCTATTTGTCATTGTTCATGAATGCTATTTCTCTACCCCCTCTTTTTGATGTTGACTATGTGATACTTCCCTCTCTATTTTACATTGTTCACGGATGCTATTTCTCTATTTGTCATTGTTCATGAATGCTATTTCTCTATTTGATATTATTCACGGATATTTCTCTATTTGACATTATTCACGGATGATATTTCTCTATTTGACATTAATCAAGAATGCTATTTCTCTATTTGACATTGTTCACGGATGCTATTTCTCTATTTGTCATTGTTCATGAATGCTATTTCTCTACCCCCTCTTTTTGATGTTGACTATGTGATACTTCCCTCTCTTTTTGATGTTGGCCATGTCATACTTCCCTCTCTTTTTGATGTTGACTACGTGATACTTCCCTCTCTTTTTGTTGTTGACTATGTCATACTTCCCCCTCTTTTTGATGTTGACTATGTGATACTTCCCTCTCTTTTTGATGTTGATCATGTCTTAATTCCCTCCATTTTTGATGTTGACTATGTCATACTTCCCTCTCATTTTGTTGTTGACTATGTCATACTTCCCTCTCATTTTGATGTTGACTATGTCATACTTCCCTCTCTTTTTTATGTTGACCATGTCATACTTCCCTCTCTTTTTGATGTTGACTATGTGATACTTCCCTCTCTATTTTACATTGTTCACGGATGCTATTTCTCTATTTGTCATTGTTCATGAATGCTATTTCTCTATTTGATATTATTCACGGATATTTCTCTATTTGACATTATTCACGGATGATATTTCTCTATTTGACATTAATCAAGAATGCTATTTCTCTATTTGACATTGTTCACAAATGCTATTTCTCTATTTGACATTGATCACAGATTCTATTTCTCTATTTGACATTGATCACGAATGCTATTTCTCTATTTGACATTGTTCACGAATGCTATTTCTCTATTTGACATTGATCACGGATTCTATTTCTCTATTTGACGTCGAACACGAATGCTATTTCTCTATTTGACATTGATCATGAATGCTATTTCTCTATTTGACATTGATCATGAATGCTTTTTCTCTATTTGACATTGACCACAGATGCTATTACTCTATTTGACATTGATCATGAATGCTATTTCTCTATTTGACGTTGTTCACGGATGCTATTTCCCTATTTGACATTGATCATGAATGCTATTTCCCTATTTGAGGTCGAACACGGATGTTATTTCTCTATTTGACATTGATCACGGATGCTATTTTTCTATTTGACGATGATCACGAGTGCTATTTCTCTATTTGACATTGTTCACGGATGCTATTTCTCTATTTGACATTGATCACGAATGTTATTTCTCTATTTGACATTAATCACGAATGCTATTTCTCTATTTGACATTGATCACGAATGCTATTTCGCTATTTGACATTGTTCACGGATGCTATTTCTCTATTTGACATTGATCAAGAATGATATTTCTCTATTTGACATTAATCACGAATGCTATTTCTCTATTTGACATTGTTCACAAATGCTATTTCTCTGTTTGACATTGATCATGGATGCTATTTCTCTATTTGACATAGAACACGGATGCTATTTCTCTATTTGACGTTGAACATGAATGCTATTTCTCTATTTAACGTGGAACATGAATGCTATTTCTCAATTTGACGTCGAACACAAATGCTTTTTCTCCATTTGCCTTCGAACACGAATGCTTTTTGACGTTGAACACGAATGCTATTTGTCTATTTAACGTCGAACATGAATGCTATTTTTCTATTGGACGTCTAACACGAATGCTATTTCTCTATTTGACGTCCAACACTTCTCTATTTGGCGTCGAACACGAATGCTATTTCTCTATTCGACGTCGAACACGGATGCCATTTTTCAATTTGACATCGAACCCGAATGCTAATTCTCTATTTGACGTCGAACCCGAATGCTTTTTCTCTATTTGACGTCGAACACGAATGCTGTTTCTCTATTTGACGTCGAACATGAATGCTAATTCTCTATTTGACGTCGAACATGAATGCTATCTCTCTATTTGACATTGATCATGAATGCTATTTCTCTATTTGACATCGAACATGAATGCTATTTCTCTATTTGACGTCGAACACGAATGCTATTTCTCTATTTGGCGTCGAACAAGAATGCTATTTCTCTATTTGATATCGATCACAAATGCTATTTCTCTATTTGACGTTGAACACGTATTTCCCTCTCTAATGTTAACAATGTGTTATTTTCCTTGTGTTCAATGTTGACGATATGATATTTCCATCTTTTTAATGTCGACTATAAGATTTTCCTGTCTTTTTTGATGTCTACTTTAATATTTTCCTCTCTTTTTGATGTTGACTATATTTTCCTTTCTATTTGATGTTGACTATAAGATTTTCCCCTCTTTTTGATGTCGACTAATATTTTCCTGTCTTTTTTTATGTTGACTACCGGTATAATATTTTCCTCTCTTTTTGATGTCGACTATAATATTTTCCTCTCTTTTTGACGTTGACTATAAAATTTTCCTTTCTTTTTGACGTTTAACTTTTCCTAATTCCCCCTTCTGTTCGATACTAATATTGTGATTTTTCTCTCCATATAATTCAATGTGATGATCACAACACAAAACAAACAAAATCTGTATTTTTTGCAGTCAAAACATTTTTATATCATGATTACCATAACTACAATAATATAACATTTCTCTTTCAGGAGAATAAATAAGGCGTGAGTATTCTGGAAGTATACATGACTAGAGAAGGAGATTTCAATCTCAGGGGAGACAACTTATGGATTTCACTTTAAAATAAATATAGTTGATAAGTAAAAGAAGTACTTGCAAATCATTATATGGCAAAACGTAAATGGGAGATGTTGGCAGAGGGGGAGAGGGATATCCTATAAGATTACCAAATCATTGCACAATGTCAGCATTAATGTCAGTAAAATAAACAAGATAACAGATGCATTAAACCTTGTTGTATTGGATAAAATAGGTAAAACCAGGCCCAAGCATCAAAAATCTTAAATTTTCTTAATTTGTTTTTCTCAAACATCCTTAAATTAGATTTTTCTGTAATTTATACACCATTTTCATGCTGGAGGAATCAAACTTTTAAATATATAACAAATTTTATACTGCACTTTAAATCTGATTTTAAGATTCGAAAACAAGTTTTGGGATTCCGAGGATAGTACATAGTACAGTACAGAGGACTAGATAAGTAGTAGTTCTGCATGTACAACAGCCATTATTACACTAGGTTTATTATTGTCTAGGCAATTTCTGCTTTAACCCAACAAAAATAAGGACCACAGTTCAGCTGTTAATCTATCTACTAAATAAACAACAGGTCTTGGGTTGAATCCTCGAAGCTGAACCGAGATATTTTCGTGAAATAAATACTATTATATATTAAGTGAAATAAGGCAATCAACTCAAGAAAAGTCAAACAAATTGGAACTCTTGGTAAATTGAAGAAGAGATAAATCACAGGTCACTGGTACACTCTACCTTGAACATTGCCTGGAGCAATTACTTGTGTTGCCGTGTGTTTATTTTGATGATTAATACAGTATTTAATCATAGGACATATATACATTTTTGTCGATTTATTTTTTCATGTTTGTGTAGTAAACTGGGCTAAAATAAAACAAAATTTAATTAATAAACAATATTGCAGACAAAATAAAATTGTTGAAAAACAAATAAAACAATAAGATCATGACAATTGTATATAAAAGTACAGAAACAATATGTATGCGAATTGAAAAAACATAATGAAGAATTTTACCCCTCTTGAGATTTACAAAATACAATTGCTCAGCAAATTGTGTAAATATATGGCAGTTATATGTCAAAAACAGAAACAACGACCCGGTATACCTGGTGATATACATCGTCATAGAAACAGCACACCAGTAACAGGTCAACAGTATGTACAACAAAGCAATCAACATTCATTCAGCTTGAACAAGTGAAATACTGTCCGTTTTCATAAGATTACCCTTTCATTCACAGCCCTCGGATAGCACACCAAGTCTGTGGTCCACTTAAAGTAAACAGAATCAAATACCTAATACCCTGGTACTGATCCTGCTGAACAATTTTCTGAAAAAATCCAATTTTAACTCAAAGTTGATGGCAAATGTACTAAATTTACACACTTATTAAACTTCAAAATTAAAAATGTTGGGTTTTATACCATGTAGGAACAGAGCAGTGATCCTAATCTCCCTAAATTGAAAGCAGTGTTATTAATGTGGGGTATCATCTCACATGTTGGGCAAGTCTACCCCAGCAATATCTCAAGTGTGACCTAAAGGATAAGGGGAGAGTATCATGGCCTGTTTTGTTCCCAATAATAAAGTCTGGCCTAGATTATTGGATCACCTTCAAGGTTTTGATTGGAGAATTATCACATTACATGAATTAAATCGGGTTGAGCCACTGACTCCAATGAATACTGCAGAGACAACTTAATTTTCAGTAATTCAAAGTACCCAAATTTACATGTATACTGGAAATTTTTGCTCCAGTTAAATTTTGCCTTTTTGGCCCTCAAATGAATTTAATGTGAAGGGCAAATTTAAAATTGGGCCAATATTGATTTTACTGGCGATGGGCGAAAGTTTGACTAGGCAAAGATTTCCCAGTATGTAGTAGCCTAATAGCCTAGGGCCATGGGGGGCATGTATCTCTCCTATAATAAGATGGGTCTACATCTGTAGCCTTACATACACCTAATGAATTTGGATTCAAACATGTAGCTTTACACTTACATATATAGCACTACACTCATATACATAACCTCAATCTCGCATAATAATCGCATACAGTGCACACATCAATACATCATGCTGACAAACACATACAGCAGCTGTATCGTTATCATCCTCCCAATCACACCAGGGATTGACTGGAAGACAGGACATTAATAAGTCATTGATACCAAAGTTAATGGGTAGCATCAGTTACCATGGAAACTATACTTTTATAGACTAGAATCATTTGGACAGTCATATATTGTATATTATATATTCTTAATATTCCTCTTCCTACTTAAAATATTTGAGACCATAGTCAAACATAGTAAATATAATTCCATATCAACAAATAATACTGTTAGAATGTTATTAAATCCTTCTCCTTTATAATAATCACTCATAAATACTCAAAAATAATATATGCTCTTATCTTAACTACAATAATTTACTTCAGGTACCCTTTCAGCAAAAGTGTAAATTGATCAAGGTACGTTACCTACCTTCCACGTACCCTAAGTCAGCACATGTTCATTATTGCTTATCTTTTACTTCTATTATCGACTCAATTTGGCCTTTGTTCTAAATAACAACACATGAGAAAAGAACTCCTTTTTCTCAGAGTTTGGATTTAACTAATCGTCATTTTGTTTTGTTTTGTGTAACTTCATTAAAAGGTAAATGTTAGAGTAATCTGACACTCAATTGGAGAGTTTTATTCTAAAACATCTATAGGATATATATATGTTACCTTGCTGCAGCATGCTTTTTTAAAATAAAGATTTCTGAGAAAGAAATCTGTAAAACATACCTTCTGAAATTTTACACGGATGAGACGTTTAAAAGGCATACAAAAATTCATGCATTTAAAGGGCTCAGTTACTTCTGAATTATTTTTTAAAGCTTATTTTTAAAAATCAAAGGGAGACAATTCTAACAAATAATCACAAGTACGATTTGAAAGGTAGCATATAACCTTAATATGCAAAATATTTGTAAAACTAAGTATTTTGGCACCTGGCATGTACACTTTATGTGCTGGGTAGTTTAGTATAAGGCTTGAGTTTACAGTTCCTTTACTAAAGCAGGTCAAGGCTGGATTATGCAGGATCCATGTGAACACAAATGGTTTACTCCTTTCACCTCTGATCATGTCCTTGTCACGGCAGCGTGGTGTTTCACAAAAGCAATAGCAGACAACTCCTTGCAGAATTCTTCAAGGACAATAATGGCTTCCAGTTGACCTTGACCTTCCAATCTATCAACAGAAAATTAATTTAGAGTCAGAGGTGTACGGGTGTAATAGAAGTCCTCAAATTGCTGAATTCCATTTTATCTCAGATCTCAAATAAATACATGTGACATTGTCATGTCAAACTCCCACCAAGCTACCAAAAAGGTCCAAACACTTAACTTTGTGTGGGTTTTTAGGGCTTGTTGTTTTGTACACTGGATATTTGCAAGTCTTGGGCATATAAACTCACAATGGTGTCTACATACCAGGGTACAGGGTTAGTGTCTTACAGTCATTTACATGACCGGGTGTCTTATTGGTGTCTACATACCAGGGTACAGGGTTAGTGTCTTAGTCATTTACATGACAGGGTGCACATGTCTTATCGGTGTCTACATACCAGGGTACGGGGTTAGTGTCTTACAGTCATTCACATGACAGGGTGTCTTATCGGTGTCTACATACCAGGGCACGGGGTTAGTGTCTTACAGTCATTTACATGACCGGGGGGCTTATTGGTGTCTACATACCAGGGTACAGGGTTATTTTCTTACAGTCATTTACATGACAGGGTGTCTTACTGGTGTCTACATACCAGGGTACAGGGTTAGTGTTACATACCAGGGTCCAGGGTTAGTGTCTTACAGTCATTTACATGACAGGGGGTCTTATTGGTATCTACATACCAGGGTACGGGGTTAGTGTCTTACAGTCTTTTACATGACAGGGTGTCTTATTGGTATCTACATACCAGGGTACAGGGTAAGTGTCTAACAGTCATTTACAGGACAGGGTGTCTTATTGGTATCTACATACCAGGGTAAGGGGTTAGTGTCTTGCAGTCATTTACATGACAGGGGGGCTTAGTTGTGTCTACATACCAGGGTACAGGGGTAGTGTCTTACAATCATTTACATGACAGGGTGTCTTATTGGGGTCTACATACCAGGGTACGGGGTTAGTGTCTTACAATCATTTACATGACCGGGTGTCTTATTGGTGTCTACATACCAGGGTACGGGGTTAATGTCTTACAATCATTTACATGAGAGGGTGTCTTATTGGTGTCTACATACCAGGGTACGGGGTTGGTGTCTTACAGTCATTTACATGACAGGGTGTCTTATTGATATCTACATACCAGGGTACGGGGTTAGTGTCTTACAGTCATTTACATGACAGGGTGCACATGTCTTATTGGTGTCTACATATCAGGGTACAGGGTTAGTGTCTTACAGTCATTTACATGACAGGGTGCACATGTCTCATTGGTGTCTACATATCAGGGTACAGGGTTAGTGTCTTACAATCATTTACATGACAGGGCGTCTTATTGGTGTCTACATACCAGGGTACGGGGTTAGTGTCTTACAGTCATTTACATGACAGGGTGCACAAGTCTTATTGGTGTCTACATACCAGGGTACGGGGTTGGTGTCTTACAGTCATTTACATGACAGGGTGTCTTATTGGTGTCTACATACCAGGGTACGGGGTTAATGTCTTACAATCATTTACATGAGAGGGTGTCTTATTGGTGTCTACATACCAGGGTACGGGGTTAGTAGTCATTTACATGACAGGTGTCTTATTGGTGTCTACGTACCAGGGTACGGTGTAAGTGTCTAACAGTCATTTACATGACAGTGTGTCTTATTGGTATCAAATTACCAGGTATGGGGTTAGTGTATTACAATCATTTACAGGACAGGGTGTCTTATTTTTATCTACAGACCAGGGTACGGGGTAAGTGTCTAACAGTCATTTACATGACAGGGAGTCTTATTGGTATCTACATACCATGTATGGGGTTAGTGTATTACAATCATTTACAGGACAGGGTGTCTTATTGATATCTACATGCCAGGTTACGGGGTTGGTGTCTTACAGTCATTTACATGACCGGGCGTCTTATTGGTATCTCCATGCCAGGTATGGGGTTAATGTCTTACAATCATTGACATGACAGGGTGTCGTATTGGTATCTACATGCCAGGGTACGGGGTTAATGTGTTACAATCATTGACATGACGGGGTGTCTTATTGGTATCTACATGCCAGGGTATGGGGTTAGTGTCTTACAGTCATTTACATGACAGGGTGTCTAATTGGTATCTACATACCAGGGTACGGGGTTAGTGTCTTACAATCATGTACATGACAGGGTGTCTTATTGGTGTCTACATACCAGGGTACGGGGTAAGTGTCTAACAGTCATTTACATGACAGGGTGTCTTATTGGTATCTACATACCAGGGTACGGGGTTAGTGTCTTACAGTCATTTACATGACAGGGTGTCTTATTGGTGTCTACATACCTGGGTATGGGGTTAGTGTCTTACAGTCATTTACATGACAGGGTGTCTTATTGGGGTCTACATACCTGGGTATGGGGTTAGTGTCTTAGAGTCATTTACATGACAGGGTGTCTTATTGGTGTATACATACCTGGGTATGGGGTTAGTGTCTTACAGTCATTTACATGACAGGGGTCTTATTGGTGTCTACATACCAGGGTATGGGGTTAGTGTCTTACAGTCATTTACATGACAGGGTGCACATGTCTTATTGGTGTCTACATACCAGGGTACAGGGTTAGTGTCTTACAGTCATTTACATGACAGGTGTCTTATTGGTGTCTACATACCAGGGTACGGGGTAAGTGTCTAACAGTCATTTACATGACAGGGTGTCTTATTGGTATCTACATACCAGTGTACGGGGTAAGTGTCTTACAGTCATTTACATGACAGAGTGTCTTATTGGTATCTACATACCAGGGTACGGGGTTAGTGTCTTGCAGTCATTTACATGACAGGGTGTCTTATTGGTAACTACATACCAGGGTACGGGGTTAGTGTCTTACAGTCATTTACATGACAGGGTGTCTTATTGGTATCTACATACCAGGGTACGGGGTTAGTGTCAGGGTGGTAAGTGATTAATGGTTTTGATGTGAAGACATATGTTTCTATTAAAAACTTAAGATAATGAAAACAGTTACTACAAGTAGTTAATGAAAAGTGTGTTATGTGTGACATCATGTGATTCAGAAAAACATTTTCTTCAAACATATATATATGACCTAAAATATCAAATCCAATCAGCCATTATCATCTAATGCATAAAAACATTTTCATTTAAGATAAAAGGGAAATAGAGACAATGCTTAAATGCTGAATAACAATCTTCTGTACAAGAGATTTGCTATGAACTTACCACTAAATAATGCTTTGTACATAAATAACTTAGCATGAATCATACTGGTGTATCGTGTTATGATAATGAACATGTTTGTAGTTTGGTCAATCTGGTTAAGCTGCCTCTGGAGTAAGCATCCTCCCTTTGTAGCAACTGTAAAATGCCTACTCTTATTTGCCAATTCTACAGGTGTCTTTAATTTGCTTTGGGAGTTCCATCTGTCTGTGTGGAAGACCCGTGGTATAATCACTACATAAGCATAGCAAAATGTGAAACAAACAGCATCTCATGTACCATGGGTTTGCATCATATTAGCAAACAAAGGACGTCAAGCAAATCGACCAGCCCAAAGCAAAGTTTGTAACAAAACAAAAAAGCCAAATGCAAAAATCATAACAAAAAAACAACATCAACTGAATTTGGTTAGCATGCTGTGAACCTTTGTAACCAGTGCAGAAAAGTCAAGCATATAGGAACAAGTGTCAAGGTGTATCTTGTCATCATTATTTCTACTACTGTTATGAAAAAATTTACTCTCGATTCCGAATGTCTATCATAATCTATTTCAAATGCATCATAAACTACAAAACATTATTTCAATTACGGTGTCAGATTTTAATATAAATTCTATTTTCTTGATTCATTCCTTTAAATATTAAAACTCTGTCGTGAATTATACATAGGGCAGAACACTAATATTTTATGAAAGATTCATCTCGTAAAAGCGAAAACACATTGTCAAACACATTGAGACTATGGAAAACAGTGTGTTTGATATAGAGTGATGAAATTCTAAGGCACACTTGTCTAAATTACACCATATAACTCCCTCACCATCAACAACCCTGATCATAAGAAAGTCAGCCTGAAATTTGACTGTTTTAGAAAGGTTTTTGCTACATCCTCCCTTTGTAACACCTATAAAATGCCTACTCTTATTTGCCAATTCTACAGGTGTCTTTAATTTGCTTTGGGAGTTCCATCTGTCTGTGTGGAAGACCCATGGTATAATCACTACATAAGCATGGCACAAGATGAAACAAACAGTATCTCATGTACCATGGGTGTGGCGTTAATTGGTAACATCATCCTTTATTTTAGATCAATGAATTAATAACATCAGTCTTAATTTGAGATACAGTAGACGATAACATCAGTCTTAATTTAGATATAGTTAATGATAACATCAGTCTTAATTTAGATATAGTTAATGATAACATCAGTCTTAATTTAGATATAGTTAATGAAAACATCAACCATTATTTCCTTCATCATCTATATTAATTAACTTTAAATAGTTTTAACACGTTTACAATGTAGAGAAAATTAATCACTGAAGTATTTTTCTATCTGAATTAACTAAATATTAAAATCATAAAATATCTTTGCCCTCAACCTGGACGTTATTAGTTATTCTAAGTTGCTGCTGCACCGAGAGGTATATAGGAACATTGTTCATTGAGCTGTGGAGTGTCAAAGCAATAAGATCCTGCGTGGCTCTTTATCATCACTTTATCAAGTTCTGATTCTAAGGTACACGTTTATTGCTTGTCATACTATATCATGTATTCCTATTTGACCCCACAGTTATTTGTATGTATTATAATGTAAAAAAAGGACTTACTTTCCACATGGATCATCAACTGTCAAACATTCAACTTGGGGGTAGTGACTATACACATTTGGATGGAACTTTGTACCAGAGAAAAAGACCTTGATATAGTGAAGAAATAACACTAAAGTAATGATGCCACTTACCCAATGTTAGTAGTGTTTAACTTCCTCAGTCTAACAACACAAATCATAGGTCAAGGTCACGCTCAAAGGTCAAGGTTATAGCTCTTACAGCACAAATACAAACCATAGGTCAAGTGCACATTCAAAGGTTAAAGTAATAGGTAGAATGTCAAGGTCACACTCAATGACCAAGGTTATAGCTTTATCTCATTAGGCTTATAACAAAAAGGTATGCAAATTCAAATGTCAAGAATATAGCTTAACCTTCTGGTCAGCTAACAAACTAAACTTAATGAAGGAAATATCAACTTGTTATTAGCAAATAAAACAGAAAAGTAAATAAATGAATGAAAAAAGTAATTGAATTGCATAATCATTAAGTTACCAGACAATACACAGAATATAGAGTAAATACTGCATATATATGTACCAGCATTACAGGTGTTAATGAACTTTGAAATGATGACAAACCACAAGACAGTGTTCTCTCAATATCTCATACAATATATTGTACAACATGCCAACAAAGGTAGACCCATGCTTATGTAATGAGTAAACACCATGTCTACACTGACATTGACTCATGCTTATGTAATGAGTAAACACCATGTTTACACTGACATTGACTCATGCTTATGTAATGAGTAAACACCATGTTTACACTGACATTGACCCATGCTTATGTAATGAGTGAACACCATGTTTACACTGACATTGACCCATGCTTATGTAATGAGTAAACACCATGTTTACACTGACATTGACCCATGCTTATGTAATGAGTAAACACCATGTTTACACTGACATTCACAGCAATCTCTGTCATGCATCAGGCAGTGTTATATCATACAGTTGAACCTCGTTATCTCGAACTCTGTTAACTCAAAGACCTCGTTTATCTCAAAGTATTTCTGCGGTCCCGGCCAAATCTCTTCTTTATCTTAGTAAATAAAACTCTGATAATTCGAACCCTGAAAATTCGAAAAACTTGGATACTTTGAAGTAAGATATTGGTTTCAATAGCATAAATCCAACATCAAAACATCGTCTACTTCATAGTGTTCAAATTTTATTTTGTCACTTATCAATTCTTTGATACAAATAAAACGCAAAAGTACGACATCTCGCCATCTGTGTTATGTAATTTTTTGTGAGTAGACTAGCATGAAATCGGTAAAAAGAATTTATGATAACTAAAAGTTTCAGACTGTAATGCGTGCGGACTGTCAAAACCATGTTGTTCATAATAGAAAACAAACTTCATCAATGTCGATCAAAAGTATTCTGTACTTTCTGCGAGTCCGTTTAATGATTTGTACATCCAAAAAGACAACAGTGCAAACTGAAAAATTGGTCACAAAGAAAGGTCATGCATAAAAGATTTCCACATTTAAAATCACAACCAAGGACAGCTTCACGGGTTCATGTTTTTACAGGTCGACCAATTTGAAAGTCAATCGAGAGATTTAAGAACAATGCGATAATTGCTGTTGATTACATCGAGTTGAGGAGGTGTCAGGTGTCACATTTGCCTTTAATGAATTGATTTGTTACATGTACAATATAATCTGTTTGTTTGTGTTTTCATTTACAGAATCAACTATGCGTACGCTCCATTACAGTGATTTGTTTAAGACTTGCACACGTTATAATCATTGGCTATTAATAAAATCAGCAACTACTAATGCTATGTCCAAACAGCAAATTTCATACCAAATTTATGAACTCGCATAACCCGAATACTCGGATAACCTCGAAGTTTTCCGTTGACTTGGAGATAACGAGGTTCGACTGTACTTCAGTAGGAGAATGGAATCTCACACTGTCCAAGTAAACTCCAGTGAGAACTCCCTCAGTAGGAGACAAGAAACTTACACTGTCCAAGTAAACTCCAGTGAGAACTTCCCTCAGTAGGAGTCAAGAAACTTACACTGTCCCAGTAAACTCCAGTGAGAACACCCCTTAGTAGGAGACAGGAAACTTACACTGTCCCAGTAAACTCCAGTGAGAACTTCACTCAGTAGGAGACAGGAAACTTACACTGTCCTAGTAAACTCCAGTGAGAACTTCCCTCAGTAGGAGACAAGAAACTTACACTGTCCCAGTAAGCTCTAGTGAGAACTTCCCTCAGTAGGAGACAGGAATCTTACACTGTCCCAGTAAACTCCAGTGAGAACTCCACTCAGTAGGAGACAGGAAACTTACACTGTCCTAGTAAACTCCAGTGAGAACTTCCCTCAGTAGGAGACAAGAAACTTACACTGTCCCAGTAAACTACAGTGAGAACTCCCTCAGTAGGAGACAGGAAACTTACACTGTCCTAGTAAACTCCAGTGAGAACTTCCCTCAGTAGGAGACAGAAAACTTACACTGTCCCTGTAAACTCCAGTGAGAACTTCCCTCAGTAGTAGACAGGAAACTTACACTGTCCCTGTAAACTCCAGTGAGAACTTCACTCAGTAGGAGACAGAAAACTTACACTGTCCTAGTAAACTCCAGTGAGAACTTCCCTCAGTAGGAGACAGAAAACTTACACTGTCCCTGTAAACTCCAGTGAGAACTTCACTCAGTAGGAGACAGAAAACTTACACTGTCCTAGTAAACTCCAGTGAGAACTTCCCTCAGTAGGAGACAGAAAACTTACACTGTCCCTGTAAACTCCAGTGAGAACTTCCCTCAGTAGGAGACAAGAAACTTACACTGTCCCAGTAAGCTCTAGTGAGAACTTCCCTCAGTAGGAGACAGGAATCTTAGACTGTCCCAGTAAACTCTAGTGAGAACTTCCCTCAGTAGGAGACAGGAATCTTACACTGTCCCAGTAAACTCCAGTGAGAACTTCTCTCAGTAGGAGACAGGAAACTTACACTGTCCTAGTAAACTCCAGTGAGAACTTCCCTCAGTAGGAGACAGAAAACTTACACTGTCCCTGTAAACTCCAGTGAGAACTTCACTCAGTAGGAGACAGAAAACTTACACTGTCCTAGTAAACTCCAGTGAGAACTTCCCTCAGTAGGAGACAGGAGACTTACACTGTCCCTGTAAACTCCAGTGAGAACTTCACTCAGTAGGAGACAAGAACTTACACTGTCCCAGTAAACTACAGTGAGAACTCCCTCAGTAGGAGACAGGAAACTTACACTGTCCCTGTAAACTCCAGTGAGAACTTCACTCAGTAGGAGACACGAACTTACACTGTCCCAGTATAGGTTAGAAAAGACCAGTACAAGTGTGAGAGTACATAGAAAGTATTGCTATATACGTAAATAATTGATGAGATATTAGTTCCTATTAGATATGCATGTACAATGCAGTTTTATTTGCCGACATACACTTTTTTATCCTGACATACCTGTGAATGTTTTGTGACATGCCCATCAGCTGTTTCCTAGCAACCACCAGTTTCTGGCTCAGGCCTGGGTCGTTGCCAAGCTTCACATTAATTTCACTGGCAATCTACCATAGAAAACAAACAAAAGAACAATGCTAATAATTTTTATGCAGTGTTATTAATCAGTTTCCTGTCAAAATCAATGATGATATATCAAACAGGAAACAGATGTATTCAGCTTTTTCTGGGAGGTTGGTTTATACAATATATGCTAAGAGTGTTAAGTATACAATACAAGCTGAGAGTTTGGGTATACATAATTAAAAATAAAATGCTAAATAATGTTAGGATAGAGAAAATTACCTGGCTCTGTTCTGTAGAGTTTATGGTATATATTACTACTCCTTGGTTAGGACTGAGAAGAGTGACCTGGCACTGCTCTGTAGAGTCTAGGGTATATATTACTATACCTTTGTTAGGACAGAGAAGAGTGACCTGGCTCTGCTCTGTAGAGTCTAGGGTATATATTACTACTCCTTGGTTAGGACTGAGAACAGTGACCTGGCTCTGCTCTGTAGAGTTTAGGGTATATATTACTATACCTTCGTTAGGACAGAGAAGAGTGACCTGGCACTGCTCTGTAGAGTCTAGGGTATATATTACTATACCTTTGTTAGGACAGAGAACAGTGACCTGGCTCTGCTCTGTAGAGTCTAGGGTATATATTACTATACCTTTGTTAGGACAGAGAAGAGTGACCTGGCTCTGCTCTGTAGAGTCTAGGGTATATATTACTATACCTTTGTTAGGACAGAGAAGAGTGACCTGGCTCTGCTCTGTAGAGTCTAGGGTATATATTACTATACCTTTGTTAGGACAGAGAAGAGTGACCTGGCTCTGCTCTGTAGAGTCTAGGGTATATATTACTATACCTTTGTTAGGACAGAGAAGAGTGACCTGGCTCTGCTCTGTAGAGTCTAGGGTATATATTACTATACCTTTGTTAGGACAGAGAAGAGTGACCTGGCTCTGCTCTGTAGAGTCTAGGGTATATATTACTATACCTTTGTTAGGACAGAGAAGAGTGACCTGGCTCTGCTCTGTAGAGTCTAGGGTATATATTACTATACCTTTGTTAGGACAGAGAAGAGTGACCTGGCTCTGCTCTGTAGAGTCTAGGGTATATATTACTATACCTTTGTTAGGACAGAGAAGAGTGACCTGGCTCTGCTCTGTAGAGTCTAGGGTATATATTACTATACCTTCGTTAGGACAGAGAAGAGTGACCTGGCTCTGCTCTGTAGAGTCTAGGGTATATATTACTATACCTTTGTTAGGACAGAGAAGAGTGACCTGGCACTGCTCTGTAGAGTCTAGGGTATATATTACTATACCTTTGTTAGGACAGAGAAGAGTGACCTGGCTCTGCTCTGTAGAGTCTAGGGTATATATTACTATACCTTTGTTAGGACAGAGAAGAGTGACCTGGCTCTGCTCTGTAGAGTCTAGGGTATATATTACTATACCTTTGTTAGGACAGAGAAGAGTGACCTGGCTCTGCTCTGTAGAGTCTAGGGTATATATTACTATACCTTTGTTAGGACAGAGAAGAGTGACCTGGCTCTGCTCTGTAGAGTCTAGGGTATATATTACTATACCTTTGTTAGGACAGAGAAGAGTGACCTGGCTCTGCTCTGTAGAGTCTAGGGTATATATTACTATACCTTTGTTAGGACAGAGAAGAGTGACCTGGCTCTGCTCTGTAGAGTCTAGGGTATATATTACTATACCTTTGTTAGGACAGAGAAGAGTGACCTGGCTCTGCTCTGTAGAGTCTAGGGTATATATTACTATACCTTTGTTAGGACAGAGAAGAGTGACCTGGCTCTGCTCTGTAGAGTCTAGGGTATATATTACTATACCTTTGTTAGGACAGAGAAGAGTGACCTGGCTCTGCTCTGTAGAGTCTAGGGTATATATTACTATACCTTCGTTAGGACAGAGAAGAGTGACCTGGCTCTGCTCTGTAGAGTCTAGGGTATATATTACTATACCTTTGTTAGGACTGAGAAGAGTGACATGGCTCTGCTCTGTAGAGTTTAGGGTATATATTACTATACCTTTGTTAGGACAGAGAAGAGTGACATGGCTCTGCTCTGTAGAGTTTAGGGTATATATTACTTTACCTTGGTCAGGACTGAGAACAGTGACCAGCCTCTGCTCTGTAGAGTCTAGGGTATATATTACTATACCTTCGTTAGGACAGAGAAGAGTGACCTAGCTATGCTCTGTAGAGTCTAGGGTATATATTACTATACCTTTGTTAGGACAGAGAAGAGTGACCTGGCTCTGCTCTGTAGAGTCTAGGGTATATATATCTATACCTTAGTTAGGACTGAGAACAGTGACATGGCTCTGCTCTGTAGAGTCTAGGGTATATATTACTATACCTTTGTTAGGACTGAGAACAGTGACATGGGCCCACTTGTATAAAACATCTCAACTCTTGAGATTTCCTCAAGTCTAAGATTTCCCATAGACAATACATTGCTTGAGATTTTCCTTAACTTTGAGATGTTTTATACAAGTGGGCCCTGGCTCTGCTCTGTAGAGTCTAGGGTATATATTACTATACCTTTGTTAGGACTGAGAACAGTGACCTGGCTCTGTAGAGTCTAGGGTATATATTATTATACCTTGGTTAGGACAGAGAAGAGTGACCTAGCTATGCTCTGTAGAGTCTAGGGTATATATTACTATACCTTCGTTAGGACAGAGAAGAGTGACCTGGCTCTGCTCTGTAGAGTCTAGGGTATATATTACTTTACCTTTGTAAGGACAGAGAGCAATGACCTGGCTCTGTAGCATTTAGGGTATATATAACTATACCTTGGTTAGGACAGAGAAGAGTGTCCTGGTACCGTCCTGTACAGACAGACTGGGCTCCAGCAGGTATTCACTGAGGTGAGGGTGGGGTAGCATGGCCAGTTTGGACACCAACAAGGTCACCTGAAGGTTCATGGAGTACGACTGGAACATAAAATGGGCCTCTGATTTATACACAATACACAAAACACTACCAACCCTCAATGATTACCTTTATACATATCAATATATATATATATTGTTGTCTAACATGTAATATAAAGTCATACAAGTAAAAAGCATGAATTACTTATACAGTAATTCAAAACATATAATTTAACATTGTATTTATGAGATTTTTAAAATATTTTAAACATCTCTTTGTTACACGGGTTTGTTTGGTCACTCCTTTGACACCTTTTCTACACTTTATGTCCAGATGATGCCTCACACCAATTAAGAGGCAAAACTAGTCGGCAAATAAAGAAGTAACTGTTTATTGGTGATGCCTTAGCATATTGTGTTCCCCCCCCCCCCCTCTCTTTGACTTTGAGTGTCTATTTCTGACAGTCTCCTACTTCATCCTTCCCCAAGTTTGGTATACACAATGTAGTAATAATAATAATTTGAGGTTCTTACACTGTATATACTGCTTTATCACAACCTAGTTTGTAGGTCATCTCAAAGCAGTTCGCAAAATATTATTTGTGGTTATAGGGCCTTTGCAACCAGCCAATATCTTTCTCAATTCCCGTGGGAGCATACAGCCGGTGCTGCCGTTTTGGCGCTCACAGCTAGCATTCAACAATTCTAGCACTGCCTAACCACATACTCATTTACAGCCGAGTAGACTAGAACAAGCGGAATAAAGGATCTTGTTCAAAGATAAAACAGAGTGCCGTTACGTGACTCGAACCCGCAGCCCGGCATCCTACCACTAGACAACTCCCCTTTTGGTGACTTACCTGATGGAGCATGTGGGAGAGCTTGTCTAAAAGCATTTTGAGGAAGCCACCTTCGTAGAATGCTGATTCAGGATTGTCTCCCTTGGGTACAGCCTCGCTTGGCCATGTCCACCCAGCACACATTGTACTCACATCTTTAAACTGACAGAAAAAATTCAGGATAATTATGCCTTCAAGGTAGGTAAGTTATATACAATTGTACAATGGCATGCCTGATGAGTGACTAGCACTGAAGACAAGGTTTTGTATGTACCAGTTATAAATTTGGGATCCATTTAAAGCTACTGCCTAAAATAACCAGATTTTCAGTATCTAGTGTCCTTGTATCTGCCTGTGGCGTTCTTACCTGTTTATGGGCGTCACGTAGGTACATATCATAGCCACTGTCTGCGGTCTGGTAACTAGACTTCAATTCCTCCGGCAGTAGAGTCAGAAAACTAAAGTAGAAAAAAGTAAAGTGTACCCACAGCATACAAGTACAATACATTTTATGTTGAGACGTACCTGTAGTTAGTAGTAAAATCCTTACAGTAACAAGGTACTGTACAAAGTATTTATGAAGTCTTTATGGTCTACCCTGTATATTTATATATCCTCTTATAAAAGCCATGCACTTTTTACATTGATAACCTCATGAACCATGATTGTTTTTACTTCTACCTCTTTTATGGAACAACAGTTCTGAACAGAACAAACTTAAGATATCTACATCCTTCAATTAAACTATGCTAGATATGTAAAGGTAGAGTCTGTAGAGCTTCGATTATCAGAACAAGTGTCGTTATTGCTTCTGTTGAACTTTGTTACCTGAGTGTGACCTGTTTTGGCAGCGGCCAACTTGAACTAGAACATACGTTTTGCAAAATATCAAGTTCAAGAGTTATATGCAGACTCTTTAAATTGTAAATAAGGGCAGTTTGCAACAAAATTTATTTACAATTTAATAACATTAAATATGAGAAAAACTTGAGAGTCTATTATCCAGGTCTGTCTTTTTACCTGTTGACAATTTTGTGCACCTCTGATTTGCCTCTGCTCGGTGATGTGATGGGAGTGGAACTAAAAGACAAACTGGATCCTGTGCCTACAAAACAGTGTGGTACAGGACCTCTTACAATGTGGTACTAATACAAACAAGGAGTCAAAACACTTAATCTGTGAATAACATTTGTACTACAAAAAACAAAATAAGAATACAGCACTATAAAGAAAACGAAGTCGAGGAACATATCAAAATTCTCCATAAGACTTGTTCCAGAACTTGTAGTTCCAATATTTTCATTATGTCATAAAACTTATTCCAGGTCTGTAGAAAATCTTATTTATTGAAGTCAAAGCCGAGTGCCATGTCAGCTGATTGCTATAATACATATTGTGGGTGGGCAATAATTGCTAATTTTTCCATTGCTCCATTCACTTCAACACATGAGGTTTACTGTATACATAATCAACATCAATTTAACGTAAACAATTCCGACAGTGTCACTGTTGAAAATCATCAATCTTGTGACAGTTTATTTACATGCAGGAATTTCTGCATCATTTACCAGCTGGTACTGGAATGTAAACAGACCGACTCCTTATGAAGATACACATGTCTATATGTAGTTACCTGTAGAATCCACAGATAGACTCCTTTCTAATCCATTCACCAGTGGCTTGGCTTCTGTACCTGAATCTGAAACAGAACCCTCTGTTTTGGACACAGTTTCAGAGATAGAGACAGGATCAGTTGGCGGATTGACAACTGTCACATTCTCTGTAGCACCAGTAGACTCCTCCTCTTTCACTTCAGGCTCCTCCTCCTTATAGTATTTTCGACCAATCATATTCCGAAGAACCAGATTATGCAAGATATGTTCCTCCTCCTTCTGCAGCAGTGTATCAAACAGCTTCAAGGTGACCAGACATAACTGGAAGACAAAGTAATACTCATGATCAGTTTGAACGAAATCTTTCTCATTGATGTAAGAATGAGGAAAACTGACAGTGTGTAATCATTATTCCTTACTTCAAAACCTAACAAAAATTAAGGTATCTCACTCATCCCTCACCCCACCCTTTACAACTGTTGTGAATTTTAACCAGGCCCAATACCTTGTCTCCTAAATATATGATCAGCATGTCATAATTGACTATAGCTGTTCAAGTTTGAAGGATCTTTTAAAATAAACATACAATCTTTCACTTTTGTTACATCTGTAATAGAATACTAATGATGTACTACACATGATGTACACATATGACTAGATGTATAAATCTTTAGCTATTAAATATAACACCTACACTACCCTTTTGGGTATAACTATGAAGATGGACCAATCAAAGTCAAGATCCTGAACCTTGTCATTAGATAAACATATGTCTGTTTGATTCTGATCCTTGTCATTAGATAAGCATATTTCCAAGTGGTAAATGATAACAGCACAAGATATAGGCCTATGGTCCAGATTGCATTTTCAAAAATGTCAATTTAAAGCAGCATTCAAATCCAGCACTACTGACGCATTAATGTGTCCAAATTTATAGAGCTACCAAGACCAAAGCACAGTCAGGGGTGATTATACATGTACACATATTAGTCGTTGTAATAGATCTGTAGCTGTTTATATTATCAAGCTAAAATCATTTACTGACAAAGTATGATATTAATCAAGAATCGTGAAAAATCAATGTTGCAATATGCTTGAGCCCGGCGTCCTACCACTAGACGACTGTGTCTCCTAATAATTATCACTGTAATACAGAAGTATGCTTGATTGCCCAGTTTTGGAGTACCTAACAGATTCTGACAGGGTTGATTGCCCAGTTTTGGAGTACCTAAAAGATTCTGACAGGATTGATTCCCAAGTTTTGGAGTACCTAACAGATGCTGACAGGGTTATTTAAGAGTACCTAACAGATTCTGACAAGGGTTGATTGCCTAGTTTTGGAGTCCCTAACAGATTCTGACAGGGTTGATTGCCCAGGTTTGGAGTACCTAACAGATTCCGACAAGGGTTGATTGCCCAGTTTTGGAGTACCTAACAGATTCTGACAGGATTGATTGCCAAGTTTTGGAGTACCTAACAGATTCTGACAGGGTTATTTAAGAGTACCTAACAGATTCTGACAGGGTTATTTTGGAGTACCTAACAGATTTTGACAGGGTTATTTTGGAGTACCTAACAGATTCTGACAGGGTTATTTTCGAGTACCTAACAGATTCTGACAGGGTTATTTTGGAGACAGGGTTATTTTGGAGTACCTAACAGATTCTGACAGGGTTATTTTGGAGTACCTAACAGATTCTGACAGGGTTATGTACTAACACATTTACGATGATAAGTATTCGGAGGGTGGACGAGTCAGTGTGACATGTTTTTGTCAATAGAAAGTATTGGTTTCCAGAGCAACTAAAGGAATCACAAGCATTTCTAAGTTATGCACCATAATTAACTCTACAGAGGATTAGTGATTCTAAGCTACATATAGATGTCAAATCATTTACACCATGCTTCACTGTCTGGGCACACAATTTTTCTGGGGAAGAAGTATGTCCTCCTTCACATGGGTAATAAATGGACATTTATACTGACCACTGTTCAGGTTTATGAGAGGATGGAATGTTGGTTAAGATTAACCTAATCAATATTCATCCTACAGATCAACGTACAACCCATAATTAAGATTAAAATCATCAGTAACAAATCCTATTAACTAGTGGTTCAGATTAAACCCTTGACAACAGATTTATAATAAACTTTGTTTATTTTACAAAAATTATGAAATGAGTTATTTGAACTTATATTAATTATCACTCTTGTTGCCTTGGATGTTAGCACACAGGGAGTCTGAATGTGTGAGGAAACCAAGTTACCCAGGGAAAACCCACGTTAATTGGGCAGTTAACCCTATATGCTTGATCTACCTTAAGAACAAGCTAGGTGTCAATCATTATGCTCACGTCCGATTGGGGAATCGGGCCCTAGCTGCCTTGGTAAAACGCGAGTGAGTTATATACTGCTCCACCCAACCACCCAAACAACAGATTCTGATCATTAGGAGTTCAGTTTAAACACCTGACAACAAAATCTGCATATTATTGGTTTAGAATCTTATCACTAACTAAACCTATTACTACTGCCCATCATGTGGGATTTCTGAAGTATGTGGTAATATTAGATGCAACACATGGTTGGTACTATGACTGTATAATGCGTGCGGACATGTCGTTACAGGTGTACACACATGCGTACTGTAACCTCACCTGTGTCTGTACAGCTTCCTGTAGACCAATATCGTAACTCATTTCTACACGGTATATAGCGTAATAAACGTGATGTCTAGAAAGTGATTGACGATGGTTAAACAAACATGATTTTGTTGAATGTTTATAAATTCTTGGTAAACTGACAAAAAATATCTTATATGAAAACTCATTATGCTCTATATACATGCAACTACCATTCCTGTCTATATCAACTGTATATCAATATTTCACATCTACTTAATGTGTTTATATATATTACAGTAGGATGTAACATTCAAGACATTATCAGGTTTTTGTTTTGGAAAAATAATTTGATAGGTTTACAGGTAAAATTATGTAGTTTGTAGAAGTCAAATATGAAATGCCTTGTCATTACTGAAACAGGCATTAAAACATGATATTAAGAGTAATAATGTCAAACATGATATTAACTTAAGTATGACATTAAGTGGAGCCCAATGTTATTCCACTGTTTTATAACAATGCTATTCACCTCGTCTGACAGATGGTTACAGCGCTGTATGAGCCTATCTCGGACAGGACTGTCAGCTTCACTTGCAACCTCTGGCTCCCGACTGTCTCCAAGGATAAATTTGGAAAACTCTGAAATATAACACATGGAAGAAGCATAATAAGACATATATTTCCTTGTGTGCGGATTGCTTCAGTAGACAGAAGAAAAAGATTCTGATCTAGATTTGATAATTTAGGAAAAAGGTGTCAATCAGCTATCAGTTAGGAAAAGAGCAATATTATCTAACATGAAACTATACATGTATTGTTAGATTTAACACAATTAGATTATTTTACATGTACATTAAAATTTGAAAGGTGACACTACCAAACCACACTGGACACCAATGTTATGTGATCCCACTATACCTCTGTCTTACCTAATAATAATGGAGGTGAGCTGATGGTCCGCAGACAACGAGTCAGGTAGGCTGTGGCCAGCACAGCTCCAGACTCAGATCTGTCAAACAAACAAAAAGATGAATTAATTTGCTGCTAAGTGTGAAGACTGAATGGTTTGTACTGAGCGACTTAGCTACACTACAACATGTATAGACAAAACAAAGTAAAGCAAAGCAAAGCTTAGTATTTTTTTTAGAAAATTCTGATTGATTCTTTGTGAACTTATAATAAACATTATGAAACTGTTTCTGTCCAAATCATAAAAACAACTCTTTGTGTATTATATTTCACTTCAAACTACAAACAACATTATACCAATATTTCTATATAACAGTGCTAACATCGAGAACATCCCCACAACTCACGTCTGTAGGATGGACGGCTCCATTATCACGCCCAGGAATAAGTTTCTGATAGACTGAGCTAAAGCTTTCGCTACAGTCGGATTGGACAGTCCAATCAGCTGATCACAGTAATCCAACCAGGACAGAAAGGAAACCAGGTGACGCTTCCCGAGAAACGTCTGATGATCCTCGCTCTCCGTTATCACATCCAGTCTGTAATAACATAATTATCAATTATCTTCATAATATCTCACATACATAACCATTTTCTCTTTATTGAATAATAAAATATTGCATATCATAACAATAAAAATATTTAAAAATTCATTATCTTTGAATAGAAATATGAACTGTAGCTAGGCACAGCAAACCCAAAGTACCGAAGGATTTAGATCTGTACTGTAAAACATGTTTATAACAAACTCAAGGGGGCTTAAGAAATTAGTACTCTACATACTCTATCATAGTCTGTTTAATCAGTCCAAATATATATAAACTTTATTTGTTTTACAACAATTATGAAACAAGTTATGTTAACTTATATTAATCACTCTTGTTGGCCAGGATATTAGCGCGCAAGAGCTGTCTTTGAGTGGGAGGAAACCAGAGTACCCGGAGAAAACCCACGTGGTCGGGCAGGTGGCCCCAAACCTCCGATCGGGGAATCAAACCCTGGCCGCCTTGGTGAAAGTCAAGTGCCCGCTATCTACTGCACCACCCGACCACCCAAACAGAAAATCAGTCCACACATGCCATTATGATAGTCAGAGATATTCTGTCTCAGGATAACCAATTTCATTATAACTAGCCTCTATACAATTGATTTGCTTTTTAACCGTTCCCTATTAGTAACTAATCCCCAATTAGCATCCACTGGTTAAATTGGGAGTAGTTCCACTCCTAAACTCCCACCCAACCCCACTCACATCCAAAGTTTAATTTTACAGTAGTTCCACTCCCTAACTCACCTTACACTTAGCCTCTACAAGTTAACTTTACTGTAGTTCCAATTCGAAACTTACCCCCACTCAGCCTCTAAAAGTTGAATTTACTGTTTCTAAACTTACCCCCACTCAGCCTCTACAAGTTAACTTAACTGATGTTCCACTTCCTAACTTACCCCCACTTAGCCTCCACATTTTCCAGATCAACAGGATTGACTAGTGACGGTAGTTTGAGGTATGACTCGACGAGTCGCTGAGACAGCTCTGTACAGAAGGAGGTGTCTTCAACAATACATTGGGCGGCAGCAGGCTCTGGGAGACTGGCACACAGCATCAGGCCCTCACAGGCCTTCACTGCCACACGACTGTCCTGTAACACAAGTGTCCCAACATGTTACGTTACACAGAGTTCCGTATTAGGTAATACCACAGGGGCACCAATTAAGTATGACAAAAATATTCAAAGAAATTTACAATAAAACATTTATATATTGAAACATCAACAGTCATTATGGTGTACCAAACTGAAATGGCAAATTTTATTAGAATCCTCACTTTAAATGTTTCGATTTTATATAATAATTTGACTTTTAAACTCCAAAGCTAAAATTATCAACATTTATAACCTATACCTATTGAATACTTTTTTTAAAACTCAATAATAGCAATTTGAGGTTTTATGCCCTCCGCCCCATTTAGTTTCGGTAACGACTGACTTTCGACATCAACGACATGATGTTTGCTGTAAGACTTACCGCACTATGTGTGAGTATGAGGAGGGAAGACACAAGACTGAACTCCTTTTTCATGCTGGCACTAGTAGGAGCCTGCTCCTCAGGTGGCTGATGTGACACTTCACAGGGCTGTGCTGTAACTGGCTTGGCCGCTCCAGGTGTTGTCTTTTTCTTTGGCATCTGATTTAAATGATTCACATGAAGTATTCTAGTGTGACCATCCCTGAAAATGCCTTTATTGATTTCAACAAAATTCTACACCTAACTTAATCCCATCGAAGTAGGTATTAGCAAACCAAACATATTGGTTGCCTTTTATTTTGAATATCAAATTGTATAATATCTTCATCACCAGTATGAAACAAAATTTTGAAATACATGTATATATACATATTTTTTCTGATTTTCTATATCTTCAGAGAGATATTGGCAATATGCATTGCAAATGAAGACAAGACAAAATTTAACATTTTGCATTATATGTCTCACATACAAAGAAATATTCTGAATTATTGGCCAAACATGAAAACAAGATTACTCACATCAATAAAGAAGTTGACTAGATATGGGTCCTCTTTGATTTTGGCACATACAGTACAAAGGAACTGGATCTCCTCGATTTCTGACGGGGCCGCTTTCACTTCACCGCACGCTTTTACAAGACGCTGAAACAAAGGCGTACCCTTACATTAATTTGTTTTGTTTTTTAAATACACTGAAGGCCTATTCATGGTCAAAACCAATGTTATAATGGGAAGAAGGTCCTGTCTAGAAACTTTTAACTATATAAAATCTTTATATTAATTTTAGAATGTAACTTAACATCAGCAATAATCACAACCCTGTTTCTAATTATGTCACCAGATAGGTTCTCAAGGTGCAATAGGATGAGGTAATAATAATTTTCTTTACACTACCTCTACAAAATACCTTGTTCAACTGGTAGTACTGATTTTACTCAAATGTACATGTTGTACTTGTTTTGGACCTCTAAATAGTCTCCCTCAGCAACATTTCAAATACAAGGACTAATTGATTCAATGTCTGGTTAAGCTAATGTCAACTCATATTTTCATACTGATGTCACATTTATTTTCCAAAGCTATTTTGAATTAGCAGCCTTGATTGAGTTCTACTATACACTTACATGGACAGCTCTGTGTACATTGACATGGGGTAGTAATGGCTGCTCCAGTCGAGACAATAACTTTGTGAAGAATGTCAGAACGGCCTGTTTCATACCCGGAGGATGCTACAATTAAAAATAAAAACATTATGAATATGTTTCTTTATGATCAGTTAAAATCATTGAGGTCAAATCAAAAGATATTAAAGGAAAGAAATGCTCTCACTAAATACAAAACTGTGTATGTATTGCTCATTGTACTTTTAAGCAATCATGACAAAATAACTCATTTAAACTCAGTTTTTAAAAGTAATTTTGCAATTATTTCCCCATTTTGGGCAGTGTCTCTCAGCATCAGGAAAACACACTTCCTTTAAATTACATATGTTTCCTTAGTTGAAAGGATGCTTCACAATGATTTTTTCAAAGAACATTAAAGGTCAAATGAGAACAGGTTAAAATTTGAACATACTTTAATCTGGTGACCTTGTAATTATGTCAAGGTAGTTAATTGGAGGGAGCTTTCTAGTACATCATGCCAGGTAGTAACTGGTGAAATATCATCACCCTAAGCCTCTTGGTTATTCCAACTTTGCCTTTCATAAAACATTCCACATGCATATGATTCTGTTAAGCTATATCAAATTGAAAGTTGTTGGGTTAACTACCATAGGTATTTATATTTGAATTCCTTACATCAGTCCTGCCAAGGGAGTAGAGGGTCTCTAGAAGTTTATGTTGAAGGAGGTATTCCATACAGGGCCCTGTGGTGTTCCTGTCTGCCTCACTCTCCTCCTGCTGTAGTAGTACTACCATCTGGTCCAGGTGTACGGGAATACTGGTCTGGTCTACTGGCAACTTGTCGCCTTCAATGTGTAAAGGTACAGTAAACAGTTCTAATCATATTATCTTCATCAAAAAAATTGCAATCCAGTGTCTATTTTTTTTTTTATTAAAGATGCCATACATTTACAAAATGATTGAGATTCATATTTTTTGGGGATTAGTTTATATAAATTTAACTGTATTCCCAATTTTCTGTATACCAGTTAATAATTACCTTTGTTGTCCATGAAGTAGCCAGTTACAGATTTCCAATGGTACACAAATTCCTCCTGCAAGGGAATCTGTGGGGCAAGCTGCAATGGCAAAGTTTTATGTTTAATTATACATTGATTAAGATTTTAATTTTGAAGTAACAATGATGATACATGTTACTCACAGCTAATTTTGACAATGGTGAATGCTGGGACTAGTACCAATTTAAAAACCTCTCTGATTGAGTGTCCATTGCAGTACTGCGTTTGTAGTCCTTCAAGTGGTGAACATTATTTTTTATAATTATAGGCTTTCGATCTGTAATATAATATATATCAATGCAATATTCATATGTATGCTACTGTTTAAATTCGCAACAAACCCAGATAGTTTAGTGGTCAATATTCAATACAGTTACAGTGATTTTCCAAAATTTATCTGAGAGAGTTTCAAACCGCTAACACAGTATACAGAAGCAGTATAAAAATAGAATTTCCTGTATCTAAATGTACAAACAACAGATGTCTTTCTGGAAACACACTGTATAGTTGTTTACTTTCCTTGGGGCTAACATTTCATGATTGTCCCGATTAAAACAATTTTGCAAGTATTTCATTTTGTACAGCTCTTCCTAGTCATATTTTTCGTATTACTGGCCACTCCCCTATATAAGATACAAAGTATATTCTGTCTACAGGTAAATTATATAAGCATGGAGAGAACTAGTCGCGACTGGACAGTGAGTTTTGTGTACCTTTAGTCACGACTGGACAGTGAGTTTTGTGTACCTTTCAATAAGATTCATAATGAACATCGGAGTAGTTTGAGTTTAACTGTTTTGTTATATTACAACCATAGGAAGGTAAGGTTTGAAATCAAATTGGTATTGACATTGTCACAGCATGGACAGCTGGTTTAAATTTCTTCTGAGAGTGAACTGGGATTTCTAGCAGTAATTAAGTGAGAACAGGTCTAAAGTACATTTATTGTGTGTCTGTCAGGTACTGGAGCACCGGCAAATCTGGCTATATGGCTAGATTCGGCTATATAGTCAAATATGACTATACGTATATAGGGTGAATGTAAACAAACACACCAGTACTAGTCGTAATTATCTCGTGCTCATCGATTGAAGTTTATATAAAAACTCAATTTCCGGAGACTTTGTTGAATGTCACCATTGCAATTCTTGGTACTAGCATCCCATTTCCCTCTCCATCTGATGGTCAGACAGGAATATTAACGATTTATGTACCAAAACACGAAATATTCCACTCCCTCCCGACACCTGAACAACTTCCAATGCATGCTATCATTCTCCGAACCATTTCCTGAAAACACAGGCCGAATCTGCATTGGATGCTTATCTTCGGTAACACAAATGTCTTCCAATGAACAGAACTACCAGTGCTACGTTTTGGTTAATTTTCAAGAAACTGGAGATGGTAAAATACATTATTGTGCACTTGCATTGCCAATTGTGTCTTATCAATAATATATATGTGAATACTGTTTCCAAACAGTTCTGCTCCTGCCTAGTAATGGCCACCATTAGCCCTAGTTTCCTCTGGCCCTGGCACCAGACTTAGACATTTTGAAAGATAGATGTCTGGTGTGGGGCCAGAGCACATTGATTTATCATAGCTGTCAATCCTTCCTCATTTGGAGGGAGCTCGATCGAGACTCCCTCATTTTGACCAAAATTTACCAATCTCCCTCAAAACTCCCTCATTCAAGTCCAAACTTACACAAACTCTAAATCTACACCCTTATTTAAAAACAGTGGTCAAATGATCTCCTAGTTACTGCAGGGTGTGTGTAATGATCATAACAGGTGTGTCTGAATGAAATGAATGTTGTTTGGAGTTATTTTGATACAATAAAAGGGAAAGATAAATTGAGCAAAGTAGTTTCAGTCGCTTTTCACGCACTTTCTCCCTTATTGGAAATGTGGAATGAGGGAGATCTCCCTCATTGGAGATTAAAGAGGTAGACACCTATGCTATATGGAAACGTGGAATTCTCCGACACTGTTTGGTGTCAGAGAGTTTTGAGGTGCTGACAACAAAAACCGACTATGACAAAACATATATCGATAAATAAATTATTTATTGATCCAAATCCGATCTTATTATCACCAACAGCTGCTAAATTCTGTCAGTAGAGTCCTCGGTTTACAATCAGTCAAAATTTCCAACATTTTTGAAGGTCAGGGAGTGACTTTTTTAATTTCCAGATCGTCTCTTTTTGTTTATTAGTCACTAACATGAAACACAAAAATGGCGTCCGCTCAGGTGGGAAATTTTGAACGATTGTAAACCAAAGGACTCTACTGACGGAATTTAGCAGCTTTGGTGATAGTAAGAGTATATTTAAACATATCAACTAAACTTATTGATGACTTTCTACATTGGTGTTAGGTATATGTCATGTAGAGTATGTGAGAGCGGGTCAGCTTTTCACAGCTGCCGTTTGTCACACTAGCTTCAAAAACAAGACAAACACTTTTATTTGTGAAATTGATTTTAATGATATGGAAGAATAAAGAAGATTTAATTTGTGACTTAAAACTAAAATTGAAAGAAAATACCAAACAATGTTTTGCCCTAATTTTTTTTTAGGGCGAAACAACCTAGCGCGAACGGGATTTCAGGCGAAACAACTCGGAACCCACCAGACATCTATCTGTCAGAATGTACAAGTCTGGTGGCCAGGGCAGAGGGAACTCGGGCCACCATCAACGATTTGATTATTCTGCCATGATACTTGATTTCATTATCGACTTTCTCTGTAAGGCGGGACATTTATTTTATCCGTGTACACGGAGAAATTCTCCCAAACCAGTGACTATCTTTCACATTAGCGATGATTCCGAACCTGTTGAATGTGACATTTGGCCCAGACATACGACATTTGTGGATGTAAACAACACCAAAACTACACACAAACTCACCGCTTCCACAGCTTGATGGAGATAATTTGTGAACTTGGAAAACATTCTCTTCTTCATGAGTGGTTTTGTGTGTATACGTGATATTAAATGGGATCAATTGAACCGATAATCACAAAACAAAGCATTGTGTTATGAAAAACTGTTCCTTCTTTCTCATCCGGGTATCTTCCACGTTTGACCGGATATGGAACCCTACAATTAAAACCGACCAACGGATTTTTGAAATCCGGAATAGGAAAATCTTCGCTGATATATATTGAATTTCCATATCACACCCAGTATCAACCCGAGACTGCAATATCAGCCCAAGGGCCGAAGGCCCGAGGGCTGATATTGGTCGAGGGTTGATACTGGGTGTGATATGGGAAAAGGCATGTTTTATTCTGTTTATTACATACTTACTAATAAAAGCTACTTTCTTATGATCTATCTTTTTTTTTTTTTTAAATATCGAAAAAACGAAAAATTTTCCAAAAGGGGTGTGATACGGTTTTTGCGGGCTGATACGGGTTTTGGGGTGTGATACGGCGGGGGCTGATACGGCGAGGGCTGATATGGGTAAGGGCAATTGTGTCCTATCGCATATACAAAAAAAACGTATTTATTAGTAAGTATGTAATAAACATATTTAATACATTCTGAATCAACTGAATTACTTGCGTACATAAAACGAGTTATTAATTTGTAAAATGTAGATTGAAACGGAGTCCGGGCCGTGCTACTAGTAAGTCAGTCCACAGGGGCACGCAACTACTATTACTATTGATCTTATTTTAGGCTTTCAGTTGCTGGGTACGTTATATCCGAGGGTTGGGATATAACGTACCCAGCGAATGAAAGCCTAAAACAAGATCAATAGTAATAGTAGTTGCGTGCCCCTGTGGTCAGTCAGTATATATAGCAAGAAAAGCATCACGGCTACTTCTTGCTTTCAAGTTAGGAAATAGAGGCAGTGATTTAATGTTTTAATGTATTCATTTTTATCACATAATCGGCCTGTTATCCAGTGAATTCGCCTGTGTAATATTTTAAATATGTCACTATAGTGTAATATACCCTGGAGCGTTTTTCATTGGCTGTGCCAGTCAGAAATCGATTGTGACGTCATAATGTGGACAATGACGTGACGTCATAATTTGTGGATGGCGCAACAAAATGACTGTCTCCGTTTGATTAAGCCCTCTACATTTTGGCTTTAAAGTCTGTCAAAATGTAAGTTTTCTGAGTTATGTGGTAAAAAGTATCTTAAATTTGTTTTCATTTCATATGAGCTTTTATGAAACTCGTCTCGAAGTTTTAATTTTTGCTCGCCAAGGCTCGCAATAAATGAAACTCCTAAGACTCGTTTCATAAAATCTCATATGAAATGAAAACTCATATATATATTTCAAGATCAATTTTTACATTTTTTATTTTTTCCACAAAAAAAATATTTGGTTGTGTAGGCTAATGGTCCTTGAGTTTTTAGAAATACAGGCGAATCATACATACTCAACTTAGCCATTAAAATCAACAAATACTTCTATGCTGCTTGTATGTATCCTTTACGTCCCCTTACAATACCTCTCCTCGTGATGCATCCATATTATGACCTTCCTTATCTGTTACCATTTCTTGACTCTTGGCTCCCCTTATAACACCTTCCGCTTATGCAATATACCTCCCCTTATGTTATCTCCCTTTATCATTCCAGGAAGCCAAATTACGTAGGAGTAGGACAGATTGCCATGTTTTGACTGTACAGACAGAACAACCTACCGGACATGACCTTCAGTAGCCTGATGGAAATATATCAAACACAACACGACAGTTTATCGCTAACGAATTTATTTTTAGGAGTGATGGTGGCTATTTTTATCGACCATTTGCGGATGTTGAATCTGAAATATGAAACAAAAAAGGAAATAACATGTGTAATACGTATATAAACGCAAACAGGTACAGAAGTAACTATAGGTAACATTGTCACTGATTTAATACACTAAAATAGTAAATAACAGGTAACATTGTCACTGATTTAATACACTAAAATAGTAAATAACAGGTAACATTGTCACTGATTTAATACACTAAAATAGTAAAGTACAGGTAACATTGTCACTGATTTAATACACTAAAATAGTAAATAACAGGTAACATTGTCACTGATTTAATACACTAAAATAGTAAATAACAGGTAATATTGTCACTGATTAATACACTAAAATAGTAAAGTACAGTTAACATTGTCACTGATTATTACACTAAAATAGTAAAGTACAGTTAACATTGTCACTGATTAATACACTAAAATAGTTAAGTACAGTTAACATTGTCACTGATTAATACACTAAAATAGGAGAGTACAGTTAACATTGTCACTGATTAAAACACTAAAATAGTAAAGTACAGTTAACATTGTCACTGATTAAAACACTAAATGTACAGTACATTTAGCATTATAACAGATTAATACACTAAAAAGCCAGGTACAATTAACAATATAACTGATCAATACACTAAAAAGTAAAACGTCTCCCATGTAACATTCTCACTGATCATTAAATGCAAATTATGTAATTAAGCTGCTGTCCCGACTGCAGTACAGACACGCAAGACAATCAACCACGTGACGTCTATGAATGCAAACTCAGTAAGGACAACTTTAAATATAGCACTGGACCAGTAATCTCAGTGTTGATAAGTTGACATCTAGTCGACTGTGACAATATCTTACTGTCCGTCATTGGTTTAGATGGTTAGAGGAAACGTAGCGTCAGTGAAAACTCACTCTGGTTACACAGGAAAGCGTTACATGGGTGTCCCGAGGTCCCGGGCGAGTTACAGCAATTATAACATGCGCGGTACTCAACAGGAGTCGTTGTAAGAATGCCACTCCTCTTTATTTCAAGCTCCCTCCTTCGTTTTCTCCCCGCTGTTATCGTCGTCAAGTAACTACATAGCTGTGGGAAAAGATAAAATACATTATTTGGGAGCAATACAGGGCGATGTAAAGATGTTATAAAGGGAGATAAATGGTGCAGCATTCCGCTTTAATTTATTGGCATAGCTCTGAGGCGATACAGAGACATAATTATACTGACATACAGGGCTATACAAGACGGAGTGTTCTTCCTTAAAGTACTGAAAAGCTGTGGGAAACGGTACGGGGACATGGAGGACGGAGTGTTCCGCCTTAATATGTCCTGACATAGCTATGGGGATCATTTGATCGTTTTAATACACGTGTTTTTGTGTACATGTTACATTTATGATCAATTAATTGACCAAGTCCCAATTACCACTCGAGGAGAGAGGAACTCGTTTGAAAGAAGTAAGATACGTATTACAGGAAGGTAGCATATAGCCTTAAGTCAAAATTTGAATGTTGTCTTATTTTCAGCGCCTTTTTAGTTTCTTTACATACAACAATGTACACTTGCCAAAGCAGTGCAGGTCAACAACTTAAATATTATAAATGAACATGTTGTACAAACTCATATACACTCCTCTAAGTTAAATACGATCGCTACAGTTGATCAGATTTATGTTGTTAGTTTTATAAACACCCCAAACAATTTTACATTAAAGTAACAATCACCGTTTTATCTCGACATCCGGCATTGTGTAGGATTTGGAATGTATCCACGTCAACTGTCCTCTCGAAAAAACATTCCTGAAATAATATTACAAACACAGAAACAATATATCGTGGTTGTAAACAGATGGTAAATATTGCTAATAATCTCTACCTTAGCATCAGTGACAAACGAAATACTGTGAAACCAGTTATTTTTTCCGATATTCCGATATTATTCCAATACATATGGTTGTACCACTGAAAGCAATATCGCGGAAATGTGTATCCTCGAAAAAAGAAGTAATAAGTCGGATGGTATAGAGACTTTTTACCTCGTGCAATGCACATGTGATGGGATGACAGTGATCTAGCTGCTCGTTAGCGTCCAGACAGAACAAACACTCCAGCGCTGTCCCTACAGGACGACATATCAAGTTTACAAACTTAAATATTTTGAAGAATATTGATCATCCACTCTGTACTGTGAATATTATACAACACTTGTCTCGCCCTCATTTATAAATATTACATTCATTTATTCGTTCCCTTAATAGAGTAATTACCTATTTTAAAAGTTAGTAAACACATTAAAATTATAAGTAATTATATATATCACCTTTAATTTAGGATTGAGCGCGTACTTTCTAGAATGTAAGCGTGGGGATATTGTAATCATCATGATGTGGAATAACACGTGTACTGGTCACTCCCCCTCCCACAGCCATCAATCTCCCCCATCAACACCCCCCTCCCACAGCCATCAATCTCCCCCATCAACACCCCCCTCCCACAGCCATTAATCTCCCCCATCAACATCCCCCTCCCACAGCCATCAATCTCCCCCATCAACACCCCCCTCCCACAGCCATCAATCTCCCCCCTCAACAACCCCCCCCCCCCACCCCCCACCCCCCCCCCCCACCCCACCACCCCCCCCCCCCACCCCACCACCCCCCCCCCCCCCCACAGCCCCCAATCCCCCCCCCCCACACCCCCCCCCCCCACAGCCCCCAATCCCCCCCCCCCACACCCCCCCCCCCCACCCCCACTATCCCCCCCCCCCAAACCCCCCCCCCCCCCCACAGCCCCCAATCCCCCCCCCCCACCCCCACTATCCCCCCCCCCCAAACCCCCCCCCCCCCCCCACACCCCCCCCCCCCACAGCCATTAATCTCCCCCATCAACATCCCCCTCCCACAGCCATCAGTCTCCCCCATCAACACCCCCTCCCACAGCCATCAATCTCCCCCATCAACATACCTGTGGCCACCAGCAGGATCAATAGCACACCTGGCAGGTAATAAAAAAGGCAAGTTGTTAATGAGTCATAAATACAATGTGGTTTCTCCAGTACGACTTTTGCATTAAAGCCCGCATTCAATGCTTGTATTATGAATACAAATTGTGTATAGCACACAGAGTCGACAAAATGAGTGTTGGAAGTCTTGTGATGTTCTCACAATGCCCTGCACTACCTTAACTCTGCCATGCATATTCATGCTCTGCCATACACCGTCATGTTACCATGCTCTCCTCGGCAGAGACCTGCATGACAATGCCATTTCCTGCCATTAAATGTCTTTACTTCTCTGCCATACACAACCCCGCTCTCTCGTCAGCCCCCTGTTATCCTATACCCTTCTCATATCTGTGGCAATGCCTCGCCCTTCCTTTCCCTCCTCGGCTATGCTTTTCATATTTATTGTAACAAATAACGTAAAATTATAAATTCGAGCGGACAGTAAGAATGTTAGAGAACTGTTTACCTGAGAGAGCCGCCATATTGTACATCGTGACTAAACGAGTCCTTACTGTAGATAAGCCATGCGTCCCGATCACGTATTGATATCAATGACCAATATATCGGCACCACACAGTACTGGTGTAAATATTTTAGTTATATATTGCAATATATTGTTGAGCCTCCTGACACATTGTGTTCTACTCATCTGGCCATATGTTTACCATATAAGGACATCGAAATGTATCGCCCAATTAGCTGTGAGAGTAGATACTACCACGGCCTGAAAAAATCGCCATTTTCAGCCTTCATTTCAATGTTATTCTAATACAGATTTGACTCTAGATGAATGGACTTTCCGTTAAAACCGCGGAAATATAACTGACGCGAAAATTAGCGTGCGTATAGTATTTGAGAGTACAGTACTTGATAGATTGTTTCGTATAATCTGTCGGAGTTGACTGTTCATAATATAGATTATAAGACATAGTAGTCACATACAAAGGATTGAACGGAGTTTTTAATAGTCATACCGGTATGAACGTGACTACCAAGCATAGCAATGACTATCTAAAAATGGCGGGATAACCAAATCACGTGACATTATTTGTGTTCAAGTAAGGACATGCTGGTAAGAAAGCAAATCGGTTGAATGTATGCTTCATGGTAAATATGTATAAATTTGTGCCATACTGTACACTAAACATTATGTAAATAATGTAACCAATTAGAGTTCATACCGGTAGGATCATTGAAAAATGCCGTTCAATCCTTATATTTACATCCTATGTTCTTAGTTATTATTGACTTTAAAACAGATATGCCCCTGTATTTACGATATTGAAGTGCCTTTATCGTAAGTGCACACGAGATTCATAAAACAGCATATCGTCACCAAAACGTTTGCCTTTAATAGTTGTCTCATGTTATTCGAGGGACGAAGAGAAACTTCAAAATGACGCTGATTCAGTTGCGCTCTTGGCCGTGTGAACGCAATTTCTGATGGCAAAGCTTAAAGAGGAACTTGCTGTGGAAATGTAAATATAGTGCTACAAAATAAACTCCGATTCGGTCGCTTCATATACTACCTATAGAATATACAATGTTGAATGATGAAGGGTCAACACTCCGGGACAGAAAAAGTGACCTGTTACGATGACCGAGTCTGTGACCGCTTCACTCCATTGATCTCGATTGGTCTCGATCAGTCGTATATCATCGTTATACGTAATTATCCAGTACACCACCAGGTCGGCGGTACATTCACCGACACTACGCTCATTCTGTTGTATGACAAATGTCTGTGTATGACGTCTACACCCGGTACGTTAGACATTCAGCCATACCCAGTTTTCGATCAGTGAATGAACTTCATAGTTATTGATCCTGGTATTCAATTTACGGATTCTCCCCAGGCAAACTAAGACATTTGCGGATTAAAATGAATTCATCCTTTCATAATCACTGAACACGTCCTCGAGTTATGTTTTGCCCTCTGCTAGAGGCGACTACAATTGGAAACCATAGGGAATCGCGACATGTTTTTTGAAAATACAGAAAAGACAAAACTTGATCTTCTGCTGTCCTCGTTGTAATACATGTGACCCCTTTATTTTTGCCCCCTCCCCTGGGTCTGCTGTACCACAATGTTACCTAGGTGTTGGTTGGTCAAAGTTTGACTACAGGGTACGTGTCCATGCTGCACCATTTCAGTAAGATTGCACTTTAAAGCGGGGGGTTTTCAGTGGTCCCATCATAAGTAGACACCTTTTAATCTACAGAAAGACTGGGGCGAATTGGTTGAATATCGTTAACTCTTGAAAAACCGAGAAACGTAAAATCGTTATTTTTTGGTCACGCGACTGGAATTAATTCTGAAAAAAAAAACACTCTACTTATCTTTTACTGTAAGTGTTTTGACTGTTTTAACGACTTCACGAATATGACAAAATATGAACTCACTACTAAGAACGTAACAGCGGCAAATACGGAGGAAAAATGAGCAACTAGGAAAAATAATCGTTTACACTGAAAATAATGTCAATGAACAATTTATACATATAAGAATAGTCACACGGAAAATGTCTTTAATTCCACGTTTCCACTTATATAGTCACCAGTCTCAAAGTAGATACAGTTATAAAACTTCAGTAACCGTGAAAGCCACGTGTCCGAATTATATTTTCGTACTTTCGAAAACATTCAATATATGAGCAAGTCATAAATCGTATTGATGGGAGATTGTCTTGTGTGAGGCTTTATGACCAATTTACTGATACGATTGCCATTCAATAAATACTGTCACCACACAACTCCCGTACGAACGGCAATAAACTAGTTTAGAGCCTTGGGGGACTGCAAAGGCATTTATAGAACAATTAACCATGCACAATTTCGACATCATCCGACAATAATTGAATTAGTTATACACTGTTGAATTGTATACACTCGTGACTGGTAGCTATACTTTGCAATGCTAAAATGAAGGTTGAGACTAAATCTGAAATACGCTCCTATATTAGAGCATGGTGTGCTTGACAGATACCGCCAAAACAGATACATGCGGAGATGCACAGCATAAAAGGCACCTCTGTCGTCACATTGAGAACTGCGCTTTCAGGTTGGTGAACATATTCAAGAATGATAAAGTTGACTTCAAACAGGACACACGATCTGGTAGGCCTATTGTTGCAGCATCAAAGAAGAACATCGCTGCTGTTAGAGCAATGATGGATGATGATGGTCGTATACTGTTTCTGAGATAGCACATATGGCTGGCATTTCAGAAGGCAGTACACATCACAGTCTGACCAAGTGCTTGGAGTTAGGGAAGCTTTGTGCACGATGGGTCCCTCATTTAATGACATCTGATCAAAAGGCCGAACGTTTGATATGTGCTAAAGATATATTGAAAAAAGTACGGTAACTGCGACTCATGAAACTAGCTGAGTTACTTACATGGTATGAGACACGGTACTACATTAACTATATTGTACTACAATGGGCTGGCGGACTACCAGCTGTGTAGATTTTTGCACGATATCTTTTCTGTAACGTACATGCAATAATGGATTCCTAAGGATGATTTCCTTAGCACGCTTCTGATTAAATGTACTTTCTAATGTGAATACTACATTATTTGCATATTTTACCCATCATAACAGTTCTTGCTATAGGATTACGCCGAAATTACCTTACAGACACATACTTATGGTTGATCCTTTTGTAAGCATTTATATCTGTACACGCGAAACTTGAAGTATAATTTGTTCACGATAATGATTTTTTTTATGAAGGCATTCTTTTCTTAAGGACAAATTATAATTTATTATATTTTAATGCACGTGAAGGTTGTACTGGGAGTAATTATCATACAGCATTTGTCAGATGACAAATTTATGCCGCTGTTTTAGCTTAACGTCAACTTGCGGTATTAGAATTTAACTTAGAACTGATTTTTAAATACAATGTTGAAGGCTGACATTGACAGTGATGAAATTAAAGCCCAGAGTGAGTTAATGTTGTACTTTATATTACATGTCTAACCTGTCGAAGTCACGTGTGCACATTACCTGTATGCTTTATGTACGTGTCTACACTACAAAGGTGATCCCCACTACATCCGATGCTATTATGACACACTCCCTGTATTTATGACGCCCAAATGAGACACGGAACAAAGTCTTGCTTAAATTAAAATGAAGTGTTGTTAAATAATTATAACCGCTTTGATTTTTGAAATTTGCATGGATTCGAAGTTAACGACAATTTGTTTCAAGGTCAGGTGGATGGTGTCACACTGATGTCTGGTGGGTTAAGATCCCATGGTTAGGCAAATGACGTCACACTGTTGTCGGGGAGGGGGG